AAAAAAAAAGCCAGAAATAAGCTAGTTAAAAATGATAAATAGCTAGGAAAAAGGCCAGGAGCTAGATCAAATAATTCATCAGCTAGATCAGATCAAAAAAGGCTAGATTTGGCCTTAAATCAGCTAACATGGCAACACTGACAATGAGTCTACCGCCTTTCCCTATGGGCACCTTGAGTCCTTCAGTATTATCTACATTTTGCCAAATGTACCCACGGGTATGGTTTTAGTTTACCCACGTCTCATCCAGGTAAACAACTGGTCTTGAAACGTTGATACGTGGAAACTCCTTCATTTTTCTTAAAAAATTTACTCGAGAAGCAACAATATCATTTCGCTCCATTAAAAATGTACGCTCATCATTGCTCTTTTTGTATTTAAAATCTAAATTTTTTAAAAAAACTTTCATGGACGATTTTGAGCCCGGGTAGTTAGTTTTTTCATGCATTGCTATCAATATTTTTATATATATTATGTTTTATATAATTCAAAAGGATCATATTGTTGGCGCGCATTCGATGATCAATGTGACTTTATTCGTATTACGGGTGATAAAATTGTATGGCCAAATAGTGGTCATACTGATTTGGTCGTGGATCCTTATCATAGAGTCTGTGCTTTATTTAAGAGACTCGTAAAATATAATGTAGGGACACGCGTGAAAAATGTCGGCTGACTTTTTCAATAGCGCGCCAATAGTTTCAAACGAAGAACCCCTGGTTACGCTAAAATAGACCACTAGGATCGTAACGGTCGCTGCTCACTTTTCGCTGGCTGTACTATAATCGGGTTGCCCGAGAATCGGATAGAAGCCGATGATAGATGGGAAATTAGGAGATTTTTATGGTGTGCTAGGTGGTTATTGAAACGTTTGTATAGTAGGGGTTGTAGGGTTTTGCTAGTTCAGAGGCAAATGGTAGTTCGAGATCAGGATGGAGGGTGTGGTTAGAGACATAGAATGGCGCTTTTAGAATTGAACGTAGGGTTTTAGATTGGAATCTTTGAATGCGGTTGATATTAGAAGTCTTGGCAGCTCTCCATAGTTGGACCCCATAAGTCCAAATGGGCCTGAGAAGGAGTTTGTAGAGTAGGAGCTTATTGGAGAGCTATCTACATGCGCTTAGATGTTAGAAGTGGTTGGAAGCGGTCATGAAGTGTACGGGTTTTGTTTATTATGTGACATTTCCAGGTGAGACGATGGTTAATAAGGATGCCGAGGCATCGTAAAAACACTGGCAGGAGGAAGCGGTTGATTATTGAGATAAACTGTTGGGCATATTCCATGGCGAAGTGCAAAGGTACTTTGGGTGGATTTGGTTTCATTCATTTTTACTCCCCATATTTTGTACCACGATTCAAGGGAGATGAGATGATCTTGTATGTAAGAGGAGGCTAAGACAGAATCTGGGCTGGTTGTTAATATGGTTTTGTTATCAGCGAAGTCGCCGACTCAAGTATGGGGTGAGGTAGACTGATCAGCCATGTAGAGATTGAAGAGTAGAGCGGCAATTACTGCACCTTGTGGTATGCCTGCTTTTATTTCAATAGGAGAAGAAAATGAGAAAGAGTAAGAGCCTATACGTACGGAAAAGAACCGATCTTCGAAATAGGATTTGAGGATCAAATAATGGTGGCTTGGAAGGATATGTTTTAATTTATAGAGGAAGCATGAGTGCCAGACTCAATCAAAAGGGAGACGTCAAGAAAAGCATCAGTGCAGTATAAATGTATAATTTTTCCTCCACGATCACATATAAAAAAAAAATTGCCGCTGTAATATATCTCATAAAAGTATATTATTATTACCATATATTATGAACATTTACTTATATAGAAAGAAAAGGGGCACATGCTTTTCTTTGATCGTAACGAACTAACGACAGATTATTTATTTTTTTACTAAGTTACGATTTAGGTTAGATGCAGAGCAGTGTTGCCTGCATACCAATATATTACAGTACTCCTTTTTTGAGTATATACTTAATTTTTTTGATTATAAATTATAAAAATTGAATTTTAAAAGAAAAATAATTCAATAAAAAAAGATTACATTTTATACTTATTTTTACAAGTTCAATTTATCAATTGGTTTGATCATCCTTTTCGGTTTCCCGATAGCTAAAGGTGTACCTATATTGTTTAGTTCTTGTGTTGCAACTAGTTAGCTCTACGCTTTCCTCTTCTTGCTTTTCTGTGTTCTCACTGTCAAGCTCGGCATAAGCTGAAATTACTTGGTCCAAATGTCTTTTCCATAATAAACCTTCCTCTATTTTAACATATGTTCTTTCACCCAGTACTTCTAAAATTTATTATTCCTTTTATCCATGTTGGTGATTTACTGTTTCTGTAGTCTTTGGTATATACCGTATCACCTACTTTATGTAACTGTGTCCTTCCTTTCTTATTTTCCAGTTGAGTCTGCCTATACCTGTGTGTTCTTAAAAAATCTAGTCTGGTTCTTATCACTCTACCAAACATTAATTTCGATGATGAACCATTAGTAGTCTAATGTGGTGTATTTCTGTACATGAATAAATATCTTGATATTTGTTAAGTCGCGAAATTAGATTCAAGTGAATACGATTAATAACTCGGCTTTGTTTTGGCTGGGTGCTATCTAATTATTATAATAAAAACAATTCATGGAATATAATATAGTGGACTGTAAGATTTATTGTTTTTTTTATATAATTTGTGAAGTAATTATTTCAAGGCGATCTTAGTAACTATGTTAGTCCTACCACAGTGAATAATAATAATAATAATAATAATAAGTTATCACACACCGTGATACTAACAATAACAATATAATAATATATACTAAATACGACGTTGACAACAACAATCGATAAATGATAAATGATACAAATAACGGATATGATACGTCTGACCTGGTAACGTCTTGGTCCAATCTGATGGCGGTGTAGTTGTCCCATGCGACGTGTAAGCCAACACAAATTTTACCCACGCGTTATACGGCGGACGACTTCGACGACATTACCAAAACTCAGAGGAGCCACAACGGGTGTCCAATAACGCGTATGCCAATTCGCCGAGCATATAACAATAATAAGTACAATGCGGCGAAGGTAATACGACGGAGCGCAACAAACGATGGCGACACCACAAGCGTATGGTACCGGTACGCCAAATTTGCCGAGCATGTGAGAATCTACAACAATGAGGCGGAAGATGACGCGGACTAATACGTCGATCACGATCACCGGGAGCGAAAAAACATCGAACGACTACGGCAATACATAGGAAGAAAAAACACCCGTGACATTGACACACACACGGTTCTTCCAAGTAAAAACGATATAATGATACGCAGACGGTCGCCGGTCGGTATCTCACCAAAAGAAAACGACACCAATGGACAGACATGAAAAACGGCCATCGATACAACGTAACGATGATTTGCAGATAGCACACAACGGCGGCGCATGTGTGTTGTTTCGGATTTAATCCTAGTTAAATTGTTTGGCACCTTTTATCTATTATGGTTCGAACAATATTAAGGTTGACATTGAAATATTGGTATTTTTTTTGTCTTTTAAAACTTTAAACATTGCTGACTTAAATGATTTGACCGCGTTTTCTACAGCACCATTAGTTGCAGGATGATATGGAGGAGATGTTAAATGCTTTATCTTGTTTAACTTACAGAAGTTATTGAATTCTTCAGATACTATTTGTGCACCATTGTCAGACACTAAATATTAAGGTAAACCAAAACGTGCTAAGGTTTCTCTTAGCTTCTCTAATGTCTTAGTTGAATCTGTAGTTGTCATCTCAAAGAATTCAGGCCATTTTGAATATGCATCTGTAATTATTAAATATGTTTTAGTGTGAATAAGACCAAGAAAATCTATGTGAACTATCTCATATGGTTTGCTTGCTCCTGGCCAATTAATAATTTTACTGATAGGAGGATTATGCCTTAACGTCATGCACACATCACAGGCTTTCATCATCTGTTCAATGTTCTCATCTAATTTTGGCCACCAAAAATAGGCTCTTGCTAATGATTTTGTTTTTGATATACCCATATGTGACACATGAATTTCATGAAGTAAATCTTGTCTTACTTTGCTTGGTATGATTACACGATAACCCACATTATTGTATTGTGTTCAATTGATAGTTCGTTTTGACGTTGAAAGTATGGTTTTAATTCATCGTCAACAGTACTAGGCTATCTTGAATTAATGTACAAAAATACTTTACTCAAAATAGGATCATACATTGTTTCTTTACTCACTTTTTGCACATCAATTGGTGTATGTTGACTATCTATGAAATTTATGTACTCACTGTCTATCACAGACCACAGTGTCATTGTTGAAATCCTCGATTGATAATCTTGATAAACCATCAGCTGCACCATTTTTCTCTCTGTTGATATATTCAAATTTGTAATCAAATTCTTATAAATATACAGCCCAACGTTGTAATCTGCCTGCTGCTGTTAAAAGTATTCCTTTCTTATCACCAAACAAAGCCAATAAAGGTTTATGATCAGATACCAATGTGAATTTTCTACCCAATAAATACTGTGAAAACTTGTTCACACTCCGATATAGAGCTAAAGCTTCTCTATGGATAACAGAAATCGTCTTTCAGTTTCTTTCAATGTTCTAGAAATGAAGCTTACTGGTCTCTCTTTTCCCTGATCATCTTGCTGTAATAGTACCGCTCCTATGCTAGTCTGAGAATCATCACAGTATACTTTGATAGGTAACATCATGTCTTAATGTGTCAATACATTATTAGATAATATTGCTTCTTTGCACTTATTAAAGGCTATATCATATTTTTCTGACCATACAAATTTGACTTCTTTTCTTAATAATTTATATAGTGGTTCCAAAATGTTAGCTAATTGATTTATAAATTTACCATAGAAATTAATCATTCCAATAAATGCTCTTACTTCAGTAACATTTTTTGGTTTCGGTACTTCTACAATTGCTTTTATTCTATCAGGATCTTTTTGTATACCATTAGCATCTACAATGTGGCCTAAATATTTTATTTGCTTCTGAAAAAAGTTACACTTACTCAACTTTAATCTCAGTCCAGCTTGAGAAAGGCGTGTGAAGACTTCTTCTAAATTACTTAAGTGTTCTTCATCCGTTTCACCTGTAACTACTATATCATCATGGGAATTAATAACCCCTTTTAATCCTTGTAACACTTTTTCGACTATGTGTTGGAAAATGCTGCTGGCAGGTTTTGTTCCAAATGGCAATCTTGTTGGTATAAAAATGCCCTTATTTGTACTCCATGCTAATAGGAATTGAGTTTCTTCATTGAGTGGTATTTGATTATATGCATTCAAGAAATCCAATTTTGTGAAATATTTACCTCCCCTTAATGCATTAAATAACTCCTCTACTCTGGGTAGTGGGTGCTTATACTCTTCAATATGTTTATTTACTGTGACTATAATCAGCACAAATGCGGATGTTCCCATCTAGCTTAAGTACTGGAACTAATGGCGTTCCCCATTGACTATTTTCAACTTTTTTTATAACTCCTTCATGAATGAGTCTCTCTAACTCATTATTTACTTTTATTTTTAAAAAGTAAGGCACTGCCCTGGGTTCGCAAAATATTGGCCTTGCGTTGTCCTTAACTTTGATTTCAACTTGTTCATATTTATACAACCCACTTTTGTTCAAAAATAATTCTTTGTATTTTTTTATTAACTCATTTAGTCTTTTGTTTTCAACTTCATCCTTTTCACTCAGTTTCTCAAACTTGTTGATATTCAATACTTCCATATTAAATAACTTCACTAGATCTCTGCCCAACAATGGTCTATTTTCACTTTTGACAATAACTAACTTGGCCTCATGCTCAATATTATTGATTTCAATTTTGACATTAATTTCACCCACTGGTTCTATTATTAAACCATTGTACATTTTTAACCTTACTTTAGTTGGTTCGATTGGACAAGTATTAACTACATCAAGATACACTTTCTCTGGCAAAATAGATACTGGAGCACCAGAGTCCAGTTCCATATTGACCATAGTACCATTGATTTTAACGTCAACTAGAATAGGTTCTACTGTACTTTTGACACAAATATTGAACATTTATATTGAGCTATCAGCACTATTACCGTCTATTGCTTCTAAATAAGCATTACTTTTAGTCAATTTAGAATGTTTATTTGTCATTTTTTTTTTTTGCATACTATAGCTAAATGCCCTACCGTGTTACAAATCTTACATTTATATGATTTATATCTACAAACGTTATAACTATGGTTACTTTTACCACATGTGAAGCAACTGTTTGGCTTGTTCTTGTTTCGATGTTGATGATCGCCTTGACCCTTTGACTCTTTCTTATGCACTGGATATCCGTTGGTCACCTTGAACTCGTTGATATCTGCAGCGACCGCTATCTGTTTCATGCTGGCTTCTTTTTTTAAAGCAACGTCTAGTATTTCATTTATAGTTCTAGTGTGTTCCTCTTCACATAACCTGTCTAAAACTGGCCCATTTAACATACCAGAAATGAATTTGTCTCTCAGGATGCTGTCAAGCATTCCTCCAAATTTGCAAGAAATGGCACTATTTTTGATTTTGATGTACCATTCATTAATTGTTTCACCATTGTTTTGTGATAACTTATAAAATTCATTCCGGTTTCTAAATACTGAACTACGTGGAGAGAACTGGTCTTTAAGCATTGCTATTAATTCTTTATACGATTTTTTTGACGGCATCTCTGGGTCACATAAGTCCCTAATTATTTTATATGCTTGGTCACCAATGGTGGTTAACAAAACTGCTACTTGCCTGTTTTCCTCTATCATGTTCGCCATAAAATACTGTAAACCTAACCTAACCTAAGTCTTTCTTGATATATTGTCCACTCACCGCTGATATGAAACTCAGGAATAGATCCAATATTGCCATAGACTCTGATCATTTGAGCGCAGTGCTCTTTTGAGTTCAGATTTGTCGTATTGTTCGGTGCCATCGCCTTGATCACCGTCACCGTTACTCAAACAATTGGGAGGCCTTCAAAATCTTGAATTTCAAGACATTGAACGTCGATATCTGGACAACAATATTTCCAAGAACGGCAAAATCTTGAATAAATAATTCCGATTAAATATTGAATATGCAAACCGTTGAATAGTAAAATCTTGAATAGCATAATCTTGAATTAATAATTCCGACAAAATATTGAATACGCAAACCATTGAATAGCAAAATCTTCGAATTTTCGAATTAGACTTTTTTGTTCAAGATTTTGAAATTCAAGGTTGTAACGTTCAAGATTTTGAGGTTCAACTATTTGACATTCAACCGTATAAATGGCGTCCCTTCAAAATTTGGTCAGATTATTAATTCAAGATTTTGCTGTTCAAGATTTTGCTATTCAATGGTTTGCGTATTCAATATTTTGTCAGAATTATTAATTCAAGATTATGCTATTCAAGATTTTGTTATTCAACGGTTTGCATATTCAATATTTTGTCGGAATTTTTTATTCGAGATTTTGCCATTCTTGCAAATATTGGTTCAAGATATCGACGATAAATGTTTTAAATTTCAAGATTTTGCTATGCACCCAAAATAAAAATAAAAGTTTATGTCATATTACAACATAATAAAGTAAGACAAATGAAAATGTTGATTATGCAAGATCTAAATAAATAACTCTAGTTATAATATCTTATTATAATATCTATTTTAATATCATATTAAGGATATATATATATATACTGATTGATAAATTTTACATATTATTACTATACAGATGATACACAATAATAAGCTTTATTAGAAAGCAATTTCAGTATTTGTATTGTTATGTTGTGGTATGTGTTGCTTATTCTTTATGGAATTAGGTAAAATAGTGTATTTTTGCTGTGTTTGGCAGTGCACAGTAAAATAGTTGTAAATAATGGTGTTTTTTTTTTTTTAAGTATCATTTAGAAAGATGCTTGTTTAAATAAAATGTTTAGGTATATTTTCTTTTATTATTTAGATTTCCTCTAACAAATAAAAAAATAACAAAGCAGTGAATATATACAATTCAAATAAAAGGGTTAGTTAATAAAATTAGGTATGAAGTATTTCAAAAAAAAATTAATGTATATAAAATTGTAAATTAATTAATGCATTTGTTTTTTAAAAAACGTATTAGCCAATAGATTTATTTAAACAAATGTTTATAAATGTAATATTCACATGATAAACTGGTACTTGATAAAGTAGGGAGGTACTATGTCAATAAGTTAATAATATGTATTTAAGACTTAAGTAAGTTAAGTTATAATAAAAATCATGAACTAATAGGTATTTAATATGATAAATTGATAACGATAATAGATTATGAAATTAACCAAATAAATTGTTTTGGATTAGTATTTCTGGAGAGTACACATCAAGGTTGGTATTTTCATTATTGCAAGATAAAAAACTTATACTAACTGAATATGATGAAATTCAAACAAATTATATTTCTTTATTTTTGTGTTTTTATGAACAGTCCATTCAATGACTTTTGAGTATTAAAGAATTACGAATTTATAATGTAGTAAAGATGAAAGCTATTTCTGCTCGAATCTTTAGGATCACAATGTAGGATCAAAATGAGAATTGACATCTAATAGCTCAAAGCGTGTACCAATTAATCGTTTAAAATCTGCCTATAAAAGATACTTACACAAGTACAACCACAACATCGACCAGAACAATAGAAACCCCAACAGCCAACTTCACAGCAACAGCAATAACAATCATCACGGACATAAGAATTACCCACCATAATTACCAGATCTGGACGGCCAGTGAAAGTGCCAGTAAGATTCCGCCTATAAGTTTCGTTGACATTGATGGGTGTATGTAGCGAATTGTGGAAAGCATTCAAGAAAACATAACTTAGAATAATTAAAATTTAAAATGATGTATATTGCCTATTATTACTAGCCACTATACATACTTGTGATCAGTGTCCAGTCAGACACTGTCCACGTCGGTCCAGTCAATTTATTTAACTTGTTTTGCATTGTAGCCTACTACCCGAAAGGCTACAAGTTTAACTAACAAAGGTTACTTTTAAAGTTAATTAATCAGAAAAAGTAGAAGCACAAACTACAGACTCTGGTTGGTAAAAATTGAAGGAATCAGTGATCAATAGTGTATGTTAATCTTTGACTATTTCAACTGATTTTAAGGATAAATATGTTGAACAAAAAATATTAATATGAAGATATTTATAAGAGAAAAACATTTTATCTACTGTATCAACTCCACCTTTGGTACTCCATAATTATTTCTGGTTTACGAGTTTCTACATCAATTTTTGAATTATGGTGCATAGTTGAAAGCAAAATGACTGCCTTGCTTTTTCGAGGTACGTATTACGACACTAATGTTTTATTTTTTTGAAACCCGAACACGCTCGAACCAACTTCTTTTTTTTATCTGGGAAAAATTCTGTAGGTATTTCTCGCTTGTTTTTTTTCAAAGTTCCAGTTACACTAATATTTTTTGTAATAAGTAATCTGCAAGTGGAATACTGGTCTACCAGTTGTCAGTGGTAAGATTTCGTTTAGAGTTTTCGATGGGTGTTACTAATCGTTTCACGATATAAATTGGTGAATTAGAAACCTCGTACGAACCAGGTTATTTCCAACATAAATCTATATTTTGCTCGTGTAAAATGTTTTTGCATCACATAATGCAAATATTTTGATGCCATATTTGGCCAGTTTACTTGGGATATACTGTATCCATCGACACCGACCACGAAATGGGTGTAACATTTTGTCAATAGTAGTATATTCACTCAAATTATAATTCTGATTGATATTTTTCAAGAAAAGGTCAAACGTAGTACGAATAGGAGCCAGTTTATCAATCGCCCGTCTTTCAGCTCTAGTTTCGCGATCGTCAAATCTGAGGCAGCCACTCAAAAACAAAAATCTTTTGTAGTTCATAGTGGCCCTAGTTATTGCTATACCAGAACCATCCGCTGACCCATAATTCTTTTACATTAGCATGATGAGCTTTCTTTATACCAATCAAAAATAAAAGTCCAAAATAAGCTAGTATTTCACACCTTGAAGTATCTAAGCAGTCTCGGGGTCTAGAGTATTGAACTCGTTGTCTCATATTACTAATATACATATTAGTGCACGTTAAAATTTCGTCAATCATGTAAAAATCAATTATTTTTAGAAATGCATCTATCTCACTAACGATATTTCTACCACACTTCTTTGGACTGAGAACCACGTTTATAATACTAAGTTGCCTAATTTTTGAAGTTGTAAACTCTTTTTGTTGCCATTTAGTTATTTTATCCTTTCCTATATAGAATGTACTGTCCCCCAAACTAGTCTCTAGATCTGATTCATTGTCTGAACAATCTTGTTCAGAATTACATTCGTGGTCACTTACCTCCACATCTTCGATGCTTAGATCACTATCACTGTCTTGGTCATCTACACAGTCTATTTCAGTTGAAATGTCTTGCAGTAAACTTTGAATTTGCTCAACTGTCATATGATCCAACCTAAGACATTGTATAAATAATATCAATTATTAGTACGTACCAAAAACGTATACAAATAATAAAAAAACATATAAAAAAAATTTAAATGTATATATTATATATTGCATAGTGATATAAAACAATACATACAAACATACATATTTTTGTTCTTATTAGAACACAAAAATAATAATTACAAGATAATAAGTCAGGTACAACGAACGACGAGTACACCGAACGACGTCTTTTGTGTTTGGCGTAGGTACACGGAATAGCTCGTGTTGTATTTTAGTGACAACACTATAAGTACTTCGTCGATTGTCTGCAATAAAGTGGACTGGAACACTTCAAAAATAGTCTAAAACGTAGATAATAACATTACAGAGGAATGGTATTCATCCATGACCTCCGATAAGATAAAAATAGAAAAAAATTTGAATAAACAAATAAATATAAAACTGTTGTATTATTATTTATTTACAACAGCGCACCCGCAACTAGCATGCTGGGTGAGGCGTGACGCGTGAATCACCCCGCATATGATATTTCATCATAATATCTTCCCAATAATATGTATTTCGATTTTCAATCGGTGTTCGTAGCTGGTAGATTAGCTTTTTATGGTGTTTTCCAAGCGGAAACGAGCTTATAATTCAATTATCCGGATCAGTGAATCAGGAAAAGTGGTATAATAACTGAGCAAACATAGAACGTCAGATACGAGTATCTCATCGGGGCGTGTGGTGAAAAAACGTCACTAGCATCCAACGAGCTCTCCTTTGTAAAAACCGTCATCGGGGAGCATAATAATATAGAGAACGTTTTTTTTATACATAAATTCACAAACTGCAGTAATATTAATAAATTAACTTACCTTGTTCACGTTTATACTTTTGTAAGAGTTCAACGGACAGTAAAGTTTTTATTTTATTTTATTTTTATTTTATATTTTTTTATTATAGATACGTACCTAAGAACTTACATTTTGCGAATACATCCTTAGTGAAATTAACAAAATGTACACGACTTTAACAGAACGTGTAGATCCTAAGTGTTCTTCCGGTAACGCGTACAGAAGAGTCATAAAAAAGTATAAAACGTTGTGGATTTTGAGTGCAGCGGTCTTACTTATTGTATCCGTGGCATTGCAAAATTATACCATCAATCAATATGTTCGCGCCATCTTTAAACTAATAGCAATGCAGGTAACAATATTCAGTACCTAATATTTTGTAATTTATTTGTCCCGTGTATTTAAGTATTTTTACCAGATATTTTTTTAGCATTTTTTTACTGAGTTCTGTCTGAGTATTTTACAAATTAATCAATGCTTCAAGTTTATTATCACCACCCAAAATAATGCAATGTCTATACAATGTCTATATAATACAGTGTCTATATACTCTATAGTGCTTATCAAATAATTATTTTTAGTTTGTACATTAGGTTATTTTTGTTTGTACATATTTAAAAATAATTAAAAAGAATAGTATTTATAGTAATAAGTTATTTTAATTCTTTTTAGTTAATAGACCTGAAAAGTTTCAAAAATTTACTTCACGATTCGTGTTTAATGTATAAAAAAATACCAGAACGCAAACTTATTGAATCGGATTGTTATGTGAGTACATATCATAATAATATAATACTTATAGCTTACACACATTCACTCTGTGTTATACACTCTTACTTGGGTACGTAAAAGTATTTGAGTGAAAGTATTCAAATACGTTTTTTAAGTAAGTACTTTTGAAAAAAGTATTTTGACAAATTATTTTAAATACTTTTGAAAAGTATCTGTATCAATTAAAATCAGATACTAATTTTCAAATACTTATTTTTTTAAATTTTATTTCTTTATATATTTTCTAATTTAATTTTACTCACGTAAAATAAAAAAAAATTTTTAATACGTATCTACCTATATAATAATATAAATTTTTAACTGTGAATTATACTCATTACTTAGACAACAATTTAAATACTTCGACAAAGAAAACAGATGAATATTTAATAGTTAGGTTCACCAAACGATACAGTGTAAAATCATCTATACAATAAATGTAAAACGCATGTGAATCGGTTCAGGTGATTTATAAAAAAAAAAACATATTTTATAAACAATTTGAAAATATCTTTAAATACTTTTTTTACAGAGTATAAAAATATGTATTTTAAGTAATTTTCAAAATATGTATCTGTGTCTGTACTTGGATACTTTTAAAAAGTATCTTTTCAATACTTCGTTCTAAGTACCTACCTATATTGGTATACCACTTACATATCCTACATTTATATGCATATATACGACCATAATAGTTTGTGCAAATCTAGTGTATGTTTGTTAATTTATTTAGTCATGTGAAATCATCGATCGAGTGGACGTTGTCCTCAGACCCGAGGATATTTTAGAATCGTACGCAGATCTCAATTGGCCAGTTGTATACCAAAGCGCTGTTAAAACCAACGTCACTGTTGAAGATTTTTCGTCTGTAGGCATTATCATTTAAGTGTGCGAACTCTTAAACATTATAACTATCATTTTTTTGTTTATTAAGGTTCTTTTAACCGGAGACCTCTTACCTTGCGATTATGAATCCAACTTGAAAATCGATCCCCTTCGAGCAATCAAAACGAAGTACGGATGGTTTATGCATTGGTTAGTATAGTTGGTTTAGTTTTGGTTACCTGCAATTCATATTACTTTGTACACAAGGCCGTAACCTGTAGCCAGACCAAATCTTCAGGTGAGGGACATTAAAGTGCATACCTATACTTAATCATAACATATCTCTATACATACATACATACATACATACATACATACATACATACATACATACATACATACATACATTTAATAAGTCAGGTTAATAAGTAAAGTTTGAATATTTCAACGAAACCGTGGTGTGTTAATATAACGATAAAATAACAATTCGGCTACATTTACATTTACATTTGGTTCTGATTTCCAAATTAATTTAGATACCTATTGGCTATTACACTGTTAAGTCCCTGATTTTAGATTCTATAAATGTATTGATTTTTTATAATGATGTGTGCGTTTCATTTTTTTTTTTGAATCTGTGTACCTACACGATAAGTAGTCGAAATAATGCTTTGATTTTGAACTTAACTAAATTTGTGATGGGAAAGCGAATATAATTGGTGTATATTGCATTAAAGAGGTCAAATTGAAAATTGTCCAATAGTTTGAAGATCGTCTTGAAAAACAAAAAAATAAAGGAAATAAAGAAAACCGGGTATTTCATTTTTTAACTAAATTAATTTTAGTTTTTGGAGAAACTCTAAGAAAAACAACTGTAGATATACATGAATTGTTTACTAAATATTTGTCATACATGATACAATTTTTAAAATATTTTTGACTCTTTTTTAGTTCACTATGAGAAATTTTCGTTTTTTAAAATTATTGTTGATAAATAATATTTTGTTTTTACTATTTTTATAGTCTTCGATTAGTCTTCTTTAATTTCGTCCATAGTCGGTTTTTGGAAATAAAGATAAATCGGTGTTGTTCCTTGTTAGATATAATATAATGCAAAACGACACCCAATCAGTTATAACGATGTGTCCAAAGTATAGTATCTACCTATATAGACTCTATATAGGCAATAGAGTATTGTATTATATAATGTTGTACAATTTCAGAAAAATTAATTTTTTTTTATGTATGGTTTGTAAGACAAAAATATTCATTGAATTTTGAAGTAGGTATATTTAATAACACTAAAACTATACTGTACTCATTTTATATTAATCTAAATGTTTTGTTTTCGAACATGGTTAATAATTACAGAGGTTGACATATACATAATATTTAATATTTGCGCGGTAGTATAACATTCGCAGTATTGCTATTTTACCTCAACATATTTAACAAATTTAGAAATTTCTTAAATGGAAATGAATTACTTATATCACTAGTAATGTAGTATAATACTATACCTAATAGTATATGGAGTAATTCCAAAATGTTGTCTAAAATCATATTTTATTATGTATAAAAATTGTCAAGTTCAGTTGTTATAATTGTAAATTTTAAAGAAAACTGTACTGGCCGAAAAGGGAACAGTAAGTTTTGTCTGAAAAGTGACACTGGCCGAAAAGGGAAGTGTTTATTTTGGCCGAAAACGGCGACGCCCCAGTTTACCAACTTCCGTGCTCAGTACTCCGCCAGTACTCACCTAAAATAATCGGGGACTTAACTCATATGTGTCGAACAATTTTACACCTAGAGTATATTCCCAATATTGTTTTCAAGGCGAAACTGTGATGACATCCAAGGAAAACTAATGCGTGCTTTATACAGACCAGATTCGTTTTTGAGCATTTCATCCGAAACGTGGACAATCATGTCGTCCAATTATAAAACTGTTCACTATAAAAAAGTATACGATATTCATTATTCAACAATCGAAACGTCAACACTCTTTTCAAATAAAATACATTATAAATTATATTTAGATCAATACGTACTACGACGGCAGAGTGGCGGTATCACAGATAAGCGGGACGTTTAAGTACCGGTTGGTGCCAAAAAATCTTTGCGCAGAAATATGTAATCCTCTGGATGGAAGTTTAGAAACTTATAATACCCGTAAGTACAGCGATTAATCATTTATTCTTATACATTGTGCAAATAGGTATACCTATGCTTACAGGGCCGTAAATATTTAGAAATTTTGGGCCCCTGGTAAAAAATTCGGCCATCTTATTGCATCTACTAGCATTTACGGTACGCTTGTTGGTATTTGATGCACATACTGAAATGATAAAAAATTTATGGAGGTTAAAAAATTAAAAAAAAAATGAGTGCGACAACTCATGATATGCTTCCAAAGTAAATATTATATTATAGTAATATAGACATACAAGATTGCCAAACATTTATGGCACCCATTTTCAAAACATTTTTTTTTTACCGTAGTATAATATAGTGGTGGTATCACTTGTTTCACTAAATAATTTTAACTAAATAAACTTACCTAATAATAAATAATGTTCTTCCAATTAAGAATCAAATACGTAGGTACACAATAATACAATAAAAACAGAACAATACGCATCATATGTATAGAATGCACAGCCACAGCGACAATAAAATAACCGATCGTCTATTACATTAAATTAACATTTTTAAAGTTTGGTAACAGTATTAGTGTAGGTTACACGCACATAAGATTATACGGAAGATTACATGAATAATATTATAATTGTAAACTAAAATATATAAAATATAGGTTACAGTAGTATATATATATAGTACTATTATATATGGTACTATATATATATATTATTTTATTTGTAATTAAATTGTATAAATTTTAAATAAATCTAAAAATGTTTGCTAATCAGTAAGCTTAACAATTTAATACAAGGTTCCTAATAAGTTTTTATAAAAACATTTCTAAATATTTAGGATATATATCTTTTACTTTTTTTTTTAGAACTATTTGGAGTGATATTATGATCGAAATCATGAAAATTTGCAAATTATTATATCAAATTCAGGTTTAAGAAATGCGGAGGACAAATAATTGTAATTAAAATTGTTTAGGGGTACTTGGTGCCTTCTATGCATTCACCTATCCTGTCCAAGTATTTTTAAACTTTTTAAAATTTTTACACTCGACACGACACTATAATTACTTTTTCAGATTCAAAGTTAGATTAATTATACAGTCAACAAAAAGAAAAAAGTAATCCAAACAGTCATGTTATAATATAAGATAGGTACTAGAGTACGGTTTCATGAGTAATAAGTATACACATAAATAATTACATACCTGCAGCTGGTTTCATTTGTCATTTGGCCAAAATAAATAAGTAGTCTAGCCATTGATTTGAAATTAAAATCTTTTCTTTTCGGCAAACCTAAAACGAAGCGGACTATAATTAGTATAACAGCCACGGGTCAGGCGACTTTGGCCACCATCGCTGCGTGCGGGAACTGTAAATCTGACGTCTAAGCATCAACACGTGTCAAGAATCTATTGAATCATACGACCACGCATCAGACGGACTGTACCGACCGAATTATCGCCAAGCGGCGACGGTACCGAGCGACTATTGCAGAGGGGCGGTATAGTCGTGCTACCAAGGCATACTACCACAACGGTGCACCGTGCAATGTATCCTGGTTACCTCTGTTTAACACGGTGTACCTATTGGCGCCCGCAATGTCGACCTGGTGGTGCACCAGCCAACGTCCAACCTGGTTCACCATAGTTTTGTACCCGGCTTACAATGGTTTACACGACTGCCTCGCACCCAGTGGACAGCGGTCGGATACCGCTCGGTGGAAAGCCGGTATATGATACGTCGTCGGATGGGTCATAGACTCTATAAACTACGGTTGATGGTTGACGCGGTCAGAATGTCAGGTACCGTCATTGATTTTTGTTCACGATGGTGGCCAAAGTGGCCGAACTGATGTCTGCAGGTGTTAATGATACTCAGCTTCGTTTTACCTGTTATATACATAGCGATCTCCGCACACTATAAAGTTCTATGTCCAACTAGGTTTGACTGAAGGGCACAGAAGATGATCTAGCTCGCCCTCGATAGGTTTCTTTGAATATCTGTTTGATAGTTGATAGGTACGTGATACAGTACCGAACATTCTATAATATTGAAAACAAATTCAAGAAATTATTTTCAAAGCTTACTTTTGTTTATTTAAAGGCTTTTATTTTAAGACTGTCGAACTATACGTAAGATTGTATGTTAAGTTTATTATAATACTAATATTGATCCCACGCAATTCGTTGGCCGTTTAATATAAAAAACTTTAAGTATGAATAATATGTTTTATTTTTATTTTGATCGCGGACACGCTGATGAACGGATATAAATGGAACTCGGCCACCACCATGGGCAATGTGCAAAAATTCGATTTGATTTTGATTATGCTTCGATTAATGCAAGAGCAACAATATAGAAAAAAATACCAATTTTTACCAATTATTTCTCCTACAACCAATAGCCAGGTCAAGTTAGGTTAGGGTAGCCTAGCTTCGTTATTTGTTCATCGCATAATTTTTTAGGTTAATATATTCTTTATGCAAACAAAATTTAAATTTTTCGTTCTCATTTTATCTGAGATAATTTTTCCTCCCCCAAAGTGTGTCACCACTGGTGTCCCCTCTTTAAACTGGCCCTGTATGTATATACATACAATATTATTATAATCTACATATAATGACTAATCAGTGATGAATTGTTTTTTTTGTTGTACAGTGGTTTTCAACAATTTCATTTGGGATTTTCAGTATTTGCCGTTGAATAATTCCACCAACAACATAGCTATTATTTATTATTTAGATTAAAATTCAAATATAGGTACACCATCTAGATATTATGAGGTTAAAAAAGCTTAACATATTCCACTTTTTATTTATATACATATTACACTTGCATATAGGTACCTAACTATTATTATCATAATGCGTTATTTACAAAAAAATAATATACATTTTTCTTGTTCATACGGTTATAATAATATGTTAAAAAAACACGTACACTTACCCGTGCCTACCGTGACACGCCTCTAGACTTTTCGCACACCTTTATAATTCAGTGGTCAATGGTAATATTATATAAGGTACTATAAGGCGTATAGTTACCATTAGACTTATCTACCCAGAAATATTTACATACCCACAGCTGGTTAATTTCGTTTGTTACTTCGCAAAATATTTGTAGTTTAGTCTTTGATTTGAAATGAAAATCTTTTCGGTGAACCTAAGACGAAGAGGACTGTAATTAGTACAGCGTTCACGGGCCAGGCGAAGGGAATTGTAATTCTGACGTCCGAGCATCAACACGTGTCAGGAGTCCCTATTGACTGGTGTCTGGTACGACGGACGATTGACTGCCAACCGAATCATCGCCAAGTGACGACGGTACCGAAAGACTAGCATAGGGGTGGTATAGTCGTGGGTTATACCAAGGTATACATACCACTATAGTGTACCACGTGTGGTGTATTATCCTAGTGTACCACTGTTTGGCAGGGTGTACTTATCGACGCCCGCACGATTAACTTTGGTGGTGCATCAAGCAACGCATAACCTGCGGGTTTACTATACAAATGTGTACCCGGTATACAATGGTGTACACGATTGTCTAGCTCCTAGTGGAAATCGGTAAGATAAAGCTCGGCGAGGTAAAGTGCGAATCGACAACCGAATTATCGTCCAGCGGCGTGCACTGGCGGTAATAATCGACTCGCAGAAGGTTGGTACAATCGTGCTACCGAGGTATGCACAAATAAACGGTGTAGTGCATCCTGGTTACTTCTTGGTTCTCACTCGCCAGTGATCAGAACGATAGGCTACCGTTTGGTGGAATTTCAGTCTGATAAGTCGTCAGACGGATCGTATATGGACTCAAAACTACGGTAGATGGTCGACGAGATAAAAACGCTAGGTGCCGAGATGATGACAAGAGTCTCATGGGGTCATATCTGGTAGTATTGTAGTAATGATATTCTGCAACTTCGTCTTACGTGTAACGAAGCGATCTCCACACACTTTATATAGTTCAATGTTTAACTAGGTTTAACTGATGAAGGACAAAGAAGACGGACACAGCTTTGGACTACCGCTCGCCCTCGATATTTTTGAATATCTGTTTGTTATTAGATACCTATCTAACCTACCTAATATTCTATAATATTAAAAAAAAAATGCAAGAAATAGTTTTCAAGTGGAGGTGGAGCTGTCGAACTGTAAGTTAAAATGTACGTTATGTTTATGATAATACTAGTTGATCCTGTGCACTTCGATGCCCATTAAAAGTGCCAACTCTATAGATGAATAATATGTTTTATTATTTTTTTTTATTTTGATTCGAACTGATGGGCGTATGAGTGCAACTCGGTGACCTTGTTAGGCAATGTGAGAAAATTCGATTTGATGCATGCCTAAATTCACCAAAGGATAACTAATATATATATAAAAAAAAAATACTAATTTTTACTAATTATTTCTCCTATAAGCTATAACCAATAGCTACTATTTATAAACAAAAATTTCTTTCTTAAATCTCAAAATCCACGTTTGAGCAATTATCCGGGTTGGACCTATACTGGGTTTAATTACGAATCTAAATCATACAGGAAACCACTCAAACACACACAAAAAATTTCATTAAAATTGGTCCAGCCGTTTAAGGCATAATAGACATACATTCATTTTTATGCATAGATTGAAATATTATTGAATTGTTTTTTTTAAAATTAATTACCGTTGTGAATAGTATAATCTCTGGTCGAGTGTGATAAAGTACGACGATCAATTGTTTCTTTGCACGGGGAGGTATCTAAACATAATATAAGAAAAACAAGCAGAATATTATTTTTAGTATTTTGATATGCAAAAATCGAACTTCGTACAAGTAGTTTATTATAGTGTTATAACTTGGAAGTACCTATTTAAAGTTTAGGTGAGATGAGTAGTGGACCAACATTTTGCGAGGTACCCCTGTACTACTCCACTCAGCGTCACAACTCATTTAAACTTTAAATACTTAATATAATTCATAAACTAGATAGTCTAAAATTTGATTTTTGTACATCGAAGTAATCGAAAAAATCTGCTGTTTTGGAGTTATAGGAATAATAAATGAAAAAATGCATGTTGTCATTAGAAAAAAATAAAAGATTTAAAATTGATAAGGTTGGTGACATACATTCATTTGTATATATATTATATAGATTTTTTTATTTATTTAAGCTTCGACAACTGAGACCATTTAGCTGTAGGTTGTGGTACTGTAGGGTTTTGGAACTGTAGGGATTTTTGGTACAGTAGGGTTATGGAACACGTGTGTGGTTATATAGATTATAGGTATTGAATGTGGATTTTTTATGTTGGAAGTAAACATATTTTGATATTTTAAACACGAATATAATTCGAAAAATACACGACTTAAATTAATTTTTATTCTCCTCGAGGATCTACTGTTATCGAAACTAACAGTATTATATTTTTCACTATTATTCGTCACCTATTTTTAAAACGAATTTAAAACACGAATAGGTAGTGCAAGGCGTTCTGTATTATTCAAATAGTAAACATCAAATCGTACGGTATGACAGTGCGTATATAATAAATAATAATATACTCAAGTCGAAACACATCTCATCACATTATGACGTACAGGTATAGCACACACGGGTATTATATTTTTTATTTCAGTAGGTAGGTACGAGTGAAATTGATGTAATTTTTATTTAAAAGCATTTATAATTCAGAATTCTGTCTTATAAACGCGAATACGGGTAAATAGGACGACTTATGATTTGCTCGAATCGTGATGAGAATTATATTAGGCATAATCGTGAGAATAAATACCTACTCATTATGGTATCATACCTATATTACCTATGATACATGCGTACACGAATCGTCATCCAGACATTGTATTCATTTTACGGTACCTAACTAAAAATAATCGGTTAGGTGCAGGTATATGGTATATAGTATGTACCTACCGTAAGTTACGGTAATTTATGAGTTGTATACTGTTAATTGTGTTTGAACGCAAACAGAACGAATTTGGTCACGATTAAAAGTAGGTACCTATCATAGTATTTGCTAAACTAATTAAAGTGTGCTTAATTAAATATAGTTTTTCTTTATATGTAAAGATACTATTATTATTTAATCAATAACGATACATTAAAATCGTATTTAATTAATATTTACCGGTTACAGGATCAGTATAAGTACTTATAACGTTATAAGTAAATAGTATAATATAATATTATTTTAAATTTTAATTATTACACTAATTGTAATTGTATTATCCGTATCGAACTCAATAAAAAATGGCTGGTTCATGTATGTATACTTTTTTTAGACGATATATTTTATGTACTATTCATGTCTACACTGTGTATTCATTTATTTAGCCGTACCTACATTTTTATTTTGTAAATTGGTAAGTTTTTGTTTAAAACGATTTATTTTAAAACCGTTTAATTTTTGCTGCTAATGTTCGGAATATTGTAAATTGAGTTTCTTTTTTCCGTAAATAAATAAATAAATAAATAAGTTCCTCGTCGTGTTCGTCTTTAGGAACTTCAATTTTAACATTTTGACGTGTTTCTTAATACTAACAACATTTAACAATATAATAGTGAACCGTCGATAAACAAACATCAGAACAGTTTCAATATATTTAGAAATCGATTAAGTACCTCATAACCCCATAGTGATAAACTAAAATTAATTAAATTGACGCTTCATTTACACTTACGTCTTCATAGGCGTTACTATACTAGTGCACCGGAGGTTTTTAATTTTAATTTTAGAACTTTCAACATTCAGCTATTTTATTTCAAGCCGGAGTTTTTAAATGCTACCTACCTACGGTTTACCAAATTGCAGAATCCATCGACAAAATATAATTGAATATTTAAAATTAAACTCGTCAAATAAATATCATAAAGTGGTCGGTTTGACTATTTGATGTATATATTTACGTAGTCATGTAGAATATCATATATCGTATGAATTAATAAAATTGTTGATAAATTTAATAATTTAAAAATAAGTAAATATAGGTACTATAATATATATGTATTTTTTGATATTTAAAAAAAAATATAGTCACTATGTACTTCTCAACTATTTTTTTTTAAATCTATTTTTATTAATTTTCATTCAGTAAAAAATATATATTTTTTTAACAATAGTGTGATCAATCATTTAATATAGGTAATAATAAGAGCGAGATAAATCGAAAGTAAACAAGTTTAATTTAACGCACACTCAAATAATTGTAAATGATACAATCAAAAGATTAAAGATATTTAAAAATAATTTGTCACCGAATATGTTTTAACTTTTTTAAGACTGATAAATTTGTATAGAACAATTTTATCTGTAAATATATTATTTCGAGTTGAAGATAATATTTGATTGAATCTTTTATAAACATTAGGATGGTTTTTGGTAAAATTATATTCTACTTTACACTTTTATTGGAAACAGCGGTAAAACTGAAATATTTGAGCGATACCAGTTTTAAACAAAATTTATTTCAAATATTTAATGTATCTACCAAATACTTTGTAGGCCAGATGATAAAATTTTTAAAATATTTAGAGTCTGTGGACCTAATAAATAGAGGTAGGTACTTAAAAGAACGGTGATTATAGCAAAGTTACAACATTTAAGACGTTCCCATATCATTGTGATTTGTTAATTATTAAATTTACCGAATCCGTTACCTAATTTATTCATTTATTTTTTTACATTATTATATTGTGTTTATTATGTATAATGATTTTTTTCCCTTTTTCCCCCTTTTTTTATTATTATATTTATATTAGCGTATTATATTATCATATACACAACCATTATTATTGGTATTACAACCGAACTTGACAAGTAAAATAGCAAAAATCACTGTTTATCGAGTATAAGTAACGCCTATGAGTTCTTAATTTTAATATTTACTACAATAACCATAGGTGGTCTTAGGATTAATTGGATTTTGAAAGTATGATTTAGTCACGTACACATTTTAAACATATATCGAGCCCGTGAACTTTTCGCCAAAAATTTTTTTAACTAAAAGCTGTTTTTGAATAAATCTAGCTTATCGAATCCATCCTAAGTGCACCTATCATTTTAACTAATTGTAACTGCATTAAGTAATATTAATGCAAATAAAACAGAATCTAGCTACGATTATACCTTTAGCATAACTGCGGCCTTCAGACACATCTTAATTGGTTGACAGAATATCACTTCGCATGTGAAGCTCATCGATTGAGTACTGCGTTGGCAACTATTTTAAGTTAAGGAAAAAAAATCAATTAATTGAAAACGTCATAACTTTACTTTGAACACTACATAATAACCAAACATTAAACATGTTAAAAACTTATTGGATACGATTATTAAAACAATAAAATTCACTGTCGACATCTTGCAATACAAATAAACTATTTAGATTCGATTAAACATTTACACAGTGTATATAGGCGCAGTCGTCGTCAATAATAAACAATGTGTTCACCAGCTTCCTATTTTAATAATTATAATATTTATAGCCAGCACAGTTTAGTAATATGTTTATTCGGACACCTACTAGCCAACACAGTATAATATCAATTTTATATATTATATACGACATAATAATATTTTATACATAATAATAAAATAATAATTTTTATATTAATATTATATTACGCCGTTGAAGTATTATACAAAATAGTTGAAACAATGAAGTTAAATTATGACACCCCCAAAAAGGTTTGTAATCGGGGTGGTTGAGTTCAAAAAAGTCAGTTAGAGACTAAAGTGTATACTGATTAACAAATAAGAAAAAATAAAATACTTACATTTTATTTTTGTAAAATACAAAAACCATTTTTTGTTATGTATTATAAATTATAACATTATTATAAGAAAAGTGTATGTTATTTAAAAATTATCATTGTTTAGATCTAAACAATATATGAGTAGTTAATTAACACAGATTTTGTTTCAACTTTGGTGATATCTTTAGTTCATATTTTCCTATATTAGCAGTATGACATTTTCCAAAATGTGTTTACTTTCATACAGTTTAAATAAATTAAAGATTTTTCCAAGCAACAAAAAACTTAGATCCGCGTATATGTATAGTGTATTCACACTACATCATTATTCTAAGATACATATATAAGACGTGTAACAGAAAGACCTACTCATGTAGTCGTGTTTATAGCGAATGTGACTTTTACATACTTAGTTATCCTTGTATAAGTGGTTTTTCACTTTGTATTCAAGATGCGCGAGTGGACATTTTACAACCAGAAAATTTGTGATTAACAATTTCTTTCGGAACTTAACGAACTTTGGTAATACCTCAATAATTATAATATATTATACTATAATGTTACATATTATTTTATAGGTACTTATAGTTTATGGCTTATGCTCATAGCTATATCTATACCTACTGACAAAACAATTAAAAAAAAAGCAATTTTGATGTGAACATTGCAATGTTATTAAACTGAAGGTCAACACTTATATACAAACCGGAAATGGTCAGATGGTGACTGAACAGAGCCAATTACATATTTCGATGCACTTTCTCGCATGAATACAAACTTGCGGCAAATATTCCAACACTGTTATTGTTATAATTTAAAAATAAATACCAAATATTAAAGTACGAAAAATCTTGATGCAATGATGTCATTGCAGTAAAACTGATGAGCCAAAATGATGGGTTAGTTCTATTTAATGACAGTTATTTAGTTCTATATAGTTAGCATATAATTTTCTTTGGTGTTTGCGATAAAACGAATCCTACAATCTATCTTTATTTTTTGCTACGTGGAAATTCATCGGAGCATGAGTTAGAAATTAAAAAAAAAATAATTTTTTGTCGAATTATTTGGCACTTTTGTCTTGTGTAAAATGGTTGTGATAAAATCAAAATTTTTCTGTAATAGTTTAGTACTAATATATTGTTATATAAATAAAAAACAAAATATTAAACTTTTGGACAAGATTTGTATAGTTACTACACTAAGAGTAATGTTCATAAGTATAATATATTAAAGAAAAATCTTGTCAATATGAAAATATAATAGTTACCTATGCATAATATTATTATATCTAAGTCTTTTGAGTCTTTGTGCGATTCCGTAACACTTCATAAGTTATTTACTTATTAAACATAATATTAAGATAAATACAAAGCTAATATACGTCCTTTTATTGTCTTTTTACCGCTTCCTCAGCTTTCCGGGTTACTGAACCAAAACTGCTTTGGGTTCTTTCAGATTTTGTATTCACTTTACTTATATTTTATGAATTCGTAGGTAGGTATCTATGGTTCTATCTAATACCAATAAATTGAGCTTAAAATTATATTTTTACTTTTCTTCATTATTTATTTATTTACTCCTATAGTCTTATGGTAGGTTTAACCGCTTGATGTACGATACCCCCCCCCCCTGGAATAATAGGTCTGACATATACACTGCATATAATAATATTATATGCCAGCTAAGTTCCTTGTAGTCGATGCCTCAAACTACGGTGGATATAATGTCCACATTGTTTCAAACAATTAATAAAAAAATAAAAAATAATAATAATACGACTATAAAGGTATAGTATAAATATTATACTATATTCGTAAATCGATTTAAATTGTTCGTTTATTGTACGGTTTCGACGATAAACGTATGTATAGAACCGTTTTTCACGGGCATATTACTTTTATTATTATATTGTTTTGAATTAAAATTAAACAACTAGTTAAAATTCATGGCGGCATAACTCAAAATTTTATCGTAATATATTATAGCGGCCATCGGATGGAAACAGCAGGAGTATATCGTAAATATTTTTTTTTTCATTTGATTAAAGGCTTCAATTACAAAGATTATTATTATTATTAGCCTATATCGTATATTTATTAGTTTATAGTTGATATTTCACGTAAAAGCTAAAACGGTTTTACATTTTTCATAATAAAAAAGTAACCACAGTTTTTAATAAAATATATGAATAGCAAAACTTATATTTCAGATATTTGGATTGAAAATATAAGTTGACCTATTTATAAATTAAATTGAAAAAAAAATTGTTCATTATTAAATTACGCGTTATATATATACTTCCAGGCGGGAAGCGTCGCAGCCATTGGATGGAGACTTCAACCGCAGTATCGTGTATATTTATTTATTCGTTTGACATTGAACGGCTTTACATTTTTCATGTCAAAAAGTAATCACGACTTTTAGTAAATATTGATAACAACTTACCTAACTAATATTTAAAATATTAGTTGACCTATATATATATAAATCGAACAAAAATAGGTGTTGTGAAATTTATGCATTGGAAAGATTCTATAGGCAAAAAACCGTTTTGCACGGTCAGATTACCAATATTGTTTCAAAAACGATTATTAAAATTCACGGCGGTATAAATACGAATTTGATCGTAATATATTATTATCTAAGCAGGTGCCGACAGGCTGGAGCCATCGGACGGAGACTGCATCGACGCAGTATCGGTACGAGCGTGGCGAATCGTAATAATATTAATAAATTGTCCACGTCCGACCGGACACATACCTCTACAGGCGGTATATGATATTATAGATAGGTACTTATAATTGTTGTCGGCTACCGATGTATAGGTGTTTACGTCCGTGTGCGTAGAAATTTTGCAGTCGGTCCGATACACTTGCCGAGCAAATATATTGTAGCAAGGAGAGAGGGAATACAGTTAGTGAATACGCGATATAACGTACGAATGGACTGCTAGACACTGAAGACACACGCAGGTATACGTAGGTGACCAGCTGGTAAGTAGGTATCGCTGGCACACGACTGCGTCTGGAAACGGATCGGACAATGTGTTCGCGTTTAGTCGTGACCGAGCTTAATCATTACGAGGTACTCGTCATCGTTAAATATTTTAATATATTGTATTAAATACCCAACAAATTTGGCCGCTTATGCTTGAACACAAGTTTATCAGTTGTTGATATTCACTGTTTATTTTCTCTTTACCTTCCCTGCAGAATCGCGTGTCTTAGTTAACATGAAGAATAATTGATTCCACGATCGTATTTTTGCAGTATATTTTTGTGCAGGTACATAGTTACCAGGTGAGTGTACGACGTTTTTATACAAAAATTAATTGTTTTTTTCTGTATAGGTACTACGGTACGACCCATTTTTTAATTATTTGTGCATTGGAATAATTTATTTTTTAATTTTATATCAAACAAATATAGAGTTAACTGACAATTTATAAATATAGAGGTTCAGTGTTCACATAATAGAAGGTACACGATTTAAAATAGTTGAAAATGTGTATGATTTATTAATAGGTATTTATGTATAGGTACCTCAGGTTAAAATAATATAATAATTACACGTTACACGTTACGACATGAGAGCAGTAAACACATTATTAACATTATTATTGTGTATAATTTACATTAGTTATTATTTAATGTAGAGAAATTATATTACAGATTAAATTATTAAATTATTAAATTATTATATTTTATGAACCTATGTCATGATTATATATTTTGTTTTCCCATTAAATGTATAAAAATAATATTTTATTTTCACTTTTGTTCATACGACATGCGGCATTTATGTATAGTTGTTTTATTCACTTTTAAATTATTTTGTATAATGTGGAGATTATATTATTTATCAAACTAATTGACCACACTACCTTTTAAGTATATCTACTCAATTTTGGGCGCGAGTCTTTTTTGTCACTTTATTCTTACTACCTATAGTCTTAAGAGGAATGTCAGCGTACTGTTTGTTTTCTCCCTCAGGCCCAAGCACAACATAGACTACACATTTACGCAAAATAATTTTTTTTAAGTTTTTGAGTAAAATCACCTTCTACAAACACTGTAGGGACTAATATTTTCCAAAGTATGACATATTGATTTGACTAAATTATGTCTCAAAACAATTTAAACATCATTTAAATTTACAATTTTTTTTATTTTGTAAGCTAAATACAAAGTCACAAAAAATAAGGAAATATAAAATCAATACGTCAAACCCTCAAAATATTATTCTCCATAATTTCTGTAATAGGTGATTTTACTCTATAAGATCACTCAAAAATCATAAAAATGATTTTAAGTGAAAGCGTTTATCTATGTTGTACCTACGTGATAGGTCTAAGTCTAAGAGAGAAAACAAATATCGTACTGACATCCTGATTATGTCTTGTATTAGATGTACGTACTTTTCTACCTTCATCGGGAAATTATCTATTTTTAGTATTCTTCTCACCTCCTTGATATTTGTGCACAACTATACATCAAATATTAATAACCACATTGTTTTTTATCCACATTTTTTAAAAACTTGTATTGTACATATGCACCATGTTTGAACTTACTAGATATTTGTAAACAAAAATGGTGTTTATGTACTTCCTTAATTTTTTTATATTTAGGTACCAGTTTTTTTTTTTTTTTTTAAATAATGACCTTTTTTAATTTAACCACTCAAAAGTATAAACTATAATTTTATCCACTACCTCCTACCAGTTATCTGTCAGAAACCATTCTTAAAGTTACAGATCTAACCATTTTTCAGAATTTGTTCTACCATCTTGTATGTACACATAGGCAAATCATAATAAAAAATAACACATCATTGTAAAATCAATACATTCGTTGTTCTGTTCAGAATCATAAATGTATTTAAATATTCGTTCAGCTAAAACGTAAAAATAAGGCATTAAACATGTAGATTGTAGGTGCTCTAATTTCTAAATTAAAATAGGAGTCCGGTTGGAGGCGCCTTGATGTACGACGTCATCGTGTATGTTTATTTTAAATACTTTGAAAGGAATGTAATAAAAATTCTATCCCTGATTATGCGAGCCACCCGAGTTTGACAGATAAATAAAATAATAATTTGTGAATTAGAATTATTAGTAAAATACTAAAATGTGTGACTAAATACTTGTAATTATTGTATAGTTAGGCGCACTATGCACATGGTATTGTTTCGATGATGAACTGAACATGACAAAAATTGATTTTCAATAGCTGTTGTTGAACTCATAAATATTAATTAATAAAATAATATCGTAATTAATCATAAGTGTACTTTTTTTCAATTGAAAATAGTAATGTTGAATTTATTCAATCTACGTATTGCATTCAAAAATTCTGTGTAGAATAATATAATATTATGTCTCAGAAATATTTTATTCTATAAATGGTCGGTAATTTTTGTTTGCATTCTTCTTCTTTATTTATTAGGGCTTATTTTTTCTGGGGATTTTTATTCCGCAATTCCTGTGAACGATTTTTGCTAATAGTTGATTATGGCACTTTAAGTTCGACTTTTTTTTAAAATTCCAGTGTGATGAACTTATTTTACGAGGAATCCGGACGTCTTGTATTACATTTTCAAGCCGTATATTGGTATTAAAATAAATCATATGAGTTTAGATGTTGGAAACGGATTTCAATGTCTTAAAAAAGCATAAATAATTGAATAATCAAAAATATACCCATCTGCATTTTACATATTTTTACAATTCAAAGTTTGGTCGTTGAGACATTAAAATGTTAAATGTCCAAATTTGCTTGAAAGTTGTCGCTAGAATCTAAATAATTCAAGACCAGAAATCTAAACTTGTTTTCAAAGTCCACATCGATAATTAATAGATCAATATCCAGTTGGTAAATTGGAATAAAAATTTATGTTTTTAATATACAAAACAGTCCGCTTAGAATTCATTCAAATGTTATTTTAGAATGTTCTAAGTCCAAACTAAAATTGATTTTGTCTTAAAACAAAAAAGTATGCATAATATTATAATTACGTCTATAAGATTAAACATCCCGACAACGACGGTAATCGAGTTTCTACTATGTATTAAGAAACTAACATAACAATATTATTTTGAGGGGATTTGGTAAACATTTGAGGGGCACCGCTGCCTATTGATGTCACTTGAATCTTTAAAAATTAGATAAGGATACCCACTACAAAAAATTTTTTTACCTGCATTTTCCATACAAAAAATAGGTACCTATCGGCTATCATAGGTACCTACATAGGATATTTTTTTAAGCCCATTGTCAGTACTGCAATTATGAAACAACTTAATAATTTATTACTTTTTTGTAATTGTCTGGATTTCGGACGCAAAATAACTCATTAATGAGTTCGTGGAAAACATGCGTTCTAAGTTAGACTTCTAGCACAAATCAAATTTAAAACCGATTTAATTTAACGATACATAACAATTATTCCCAATTCATTATTGTGATTGATACACCAATTTCATACACAGTTAAACATAAAATACCGTAAACGGATTATTGTACCTAAATCATTATCATTATTACTATAGTTTCACATTGTAACGTCAAGTGTTCTACCTATACATATTTAGGAATTTCTCATTATACTCATTAATTAATATTACGATATTACCAGAATAATATAATATATCATATTACAGACTTGTATAATTGGTACTTATGCGGTATATATAGTGATGTAAATCAGAAATTTCCTGAAGAATTTTCATCTTAAAAATATTATAGCAAGTTTTTATTTACGTAAATTTTGTTTTGAGAGCATTGTGATTATTATATCTTATCTAATTTTGAAGTTTTATTATACCAATGTCCAATGACCAATACCAATAAATAAATTCAAGTTGTATTTTGAAAAAATATTTAATTTTTAAATTACATATAGATTTCAGAAATGTCTCAAAAATAATCAAATTATGCAATTTGACATTACTAGGTAAGTGCGCTGTGGCAGCGGCGTCCCAAGACATTCGTCATAAAGCTAATTGTTTTCATTTACTTTTATAAATTATTTAATAGATGAGGCATTATAGAATTTATCAGATTTTTAATTAACTATACTACCTATTATCATTGGCTTTATAATTTATATTGTATAGTATTTTTTAATATAAACTCAATGCTATTAGGCATATCTGCTTAATTATTACGAGGGTATTTTGTATAACTATCTAGGACCTAAGCACTACTTATTATACAGTCTTAAGCAAGTCTGAATTAAGGGGGACCTTTCTAATACTTTCAAAACTTTTTTCAAAATAAAATTATTTTAGTATGTAATAGCAAGTATTTATAAAATAAAATGTTCTTAATTTTATATCACGAAAAATTACTAATTGATAATAAATATTAAATTGATATTAAAATAATATTTTTGAAAATATGTGAAGTTTATAAAATGAAAGTTGTGAACTACATTGCATTCATAGATACAATTATCTTTATCGTGTATGATTGTGCGTGGTATAATAGATATAGGTACCTAGTACAAAATCATAGAATTATAATAATATATATATAATTATTATTTTTGCACAGTAGTTAAAATGTAGTGGTACAATTTTTTTTAAGTTCAAAATGAAAGAGGCCCACTAAGTATGTGTAGTACCCCGGGGCCAAATTGATCCTTCATCTGGGCTTGAGGCTATTGATAGTATATATAGTAGTTATAGAAAACTAATAAACATAAAAAAAGTATCAGCTATAGTGTTAAAGACGGTTAGGTAACATAATTTTAACGATAAAAAAATCTAGTCTCAACTCAAAATGTTTCCATTTATTGTGTTTGTCGGTCGAGAATAAGTACCTAATTTATTATTCAAAATAGGACTTGCAGAAAACTTTCCAATCATATTTGGGAAAAATCATTATTAAAAGATCTCAGGTATATCTCTCACTCTATATGATATCATTGACAGTTTACTTTTTTGATTTTTGTTTCATAAAATAAAATAAAAATAGGACATAGGTATAGCCGGTAGTGCCACGAGTGGTACGAACTATTAGTATTAATATTAATTAATAATTTTAATTAGTTTCACGGTTTGTTTTTCTCTGTAAAATGTTACTGCGCTTTAAACCTACGAGTATTTAAGTGGACAATTAAAATTGCCTTCTGCTTACTGTTATATTATTAACTAAAAAATGGGAGCGTGTTTACATGTTAACCTCTTATAGGCCTTTGGAAAATGTATGCCCTAAATTACTAAAATGTAAATTAACTAAGGATATTGCAAAACGGACCAAACGCCAAATTATTAAGTATTATTGAAGTATTGTTACTTTGTACACATTTTATATTGTCTTTAAAATTAAATCTTGATCAATATTGTTTTTTATGACTTATAACAGTCTCGAAATTAGTTGTTCGTGACCCATTTTTCGGGGACTTTCTCCAAAAATCAGAAATAGTTGTTATTTCTACTAATATTTGATGAACCACTCGGCCCACAATATTATTTTCAAGTTCAACAAAGCCAACTTAAATAAAGAATTATAGTAGGTATGTATAATGTATATTATAGGTACTATTACTTGATACTCTAATAATAATAATGATTTTGGAATGAGCAACGCCTGGTGGGACAGCTAATATTACATACGAGTAGATATAGATAGATAGATAGACCTATCAGGGAAATATAATTTTTTTTTCATGTTATTTCCTGTATGTGTATTAATTGCATTGGACAGATAAAAATATATTTATTTAAATTTTTTTTACAATCCCGTTATTTGGCAATATTTTAAATTTTAAGATTTATATTTTTTTCTGAAGCGTGTAAATAAAAATTACTCTATTTTACCCAAAATCTGATATGTACATAAAATAAAGAAAATTCCCAGGATTTTGAAAATGTTATTTTTTGCATCCATAGGGGATTTTAGCGTACAGAAATTATTTCTGTAAGGTTTATCGTAATATTTGCAACAAACATGAATTGTGTAAGAAATTTATGAAGTTTGGTATTTTAATTGGGTATTTTTATGTCATAAACAAATAAGATAATTTTTACGATGACCAATTAAATTATATTGATAATATTCATTTAAACGTCTTGTCATTAGTCAGTGTGTAGACTGCAGTTGTGTAAACGTGCAGTTGAAAGAACATATTTATCATAACATACTTTAAAAAAACAATGTAGTCTATTTTTATGAGAATATACACTTGAATTATTTTTAATTCTTTTATTATAGTAAAATATTACTTATCAAATTAAGTAATTTGTATAATATGAAATATAAGCTTTATTTGATGTAATGGATAGCCAGTTCGAAGGTAAGAGAAAATCTATACATATTTTCAATATTTTTTGGTAAATATAATTATGCTAAATCGGTTTTTATTACGTATTTTAAGTTGATCTAGTATAGCTAAAAATAAGCGTAAAAAATGTATTTTGAATCGTGAACTGTACTAAATGTTAAATGTTCTATGCAATCCGTGACAACTGTTAGTACAAGACAATTAATGTTTATTTTTATTCAAGATAAATTCAATGGTTTGAAGTGGAACGGTGTTTATATCAAAGCAATAGAAAGTGCAAATTAAAATTTTTCTTTAGTATTATCAAAAAAATGGATAAAAGCTTGCCGGAATAATAATAAATTTAATACAATTCATACTGAATGGCTTGATTCACACTTCAAAATATACCTAACCATAATAATAACAATGTTTCAACGTCGTTAAACAGTGGTAGACCTATTAAACATTTTAACGAATGTGCTGCAGATAGTTCTAAAAGACGAAAAAATAATAGCTGATTCTACTACGACGATCCCTGAAAGACATTACGCTTCACAAAATAAGTATTCCGGACAGCTAAATTTTGTCCAACTTTTTAAAGGGGTAAAATCATCTGATAAGGCTTCAGATCTTTTGAAGTCTCGCGCCAAATTAAACTCGGCTGTTGCGCAGGTCGCATCTTCGCGCACGACTTCGTTTCACATAACCGTTTTACTATTATTGTTAGACGAGAAAAGTGTGAAACTGCTAACCGAAAAGAAACTCTGTCCGACGCCTGTGTAAGACAAATACATCACACACACAGTAATAATATGATTAATAATAATCGATAATGTACACGACGTTAATTCATGTGCCCAACCGGTATTTATCACAATAATGAGCGTTTTCGCGGGGTCCTCGGCCATATACAGATAATAGAATCGATGGCTTTGGACACACGCGCTCATCTGCAGCGATGATGACCATTGTTCAACGTGGTGTTTGATTAATGGAAGTCTGTCGGCGGACAACAATATTATATTATTGTCAATTGTCATTACGATAGCTCATTGTTCCGTAGATAATGGATAGCGTATAGACGTGGCGGCGGCGGCGTCATTTGAATAAATCGAAACCGCTGCAGGTAAAAGCGAAGGGCCGTCGATCGCGCCGGACTACGGGGGTGCCGATGAGAAAATAAAATACTAAATATAAAACATAATAATATGATGTTCAGTTGCATTGTATTATAGTCTTAATAATAAAATAAATGATTGCGCACCGTGGAGTGTACACACATTTATGTTATATTAAATTGGACGACTATATTATTATATACCGCTACGTACAATAATATATACAGGGTGATTCGACGAGCATGCAGCTCGCCCTCGATTTTTGTCTTTAAAATGTGATTTCACGAATACTCCTAGGTATAGGTACTCCTAAAGACCATGTTTTCGAATTCCCGAGGTTTTTGTACCACTCGAGCAGCAGTGTCCTGCAGCGAACACACAAACTTTTGGTTTTTTTTCAAATGAGAACCCACTTTTTCCACTGTACATTATTTTTAGGGGATAGTTTTTTTAAATGATTTTAAAGTAGGTATCAAAATCGAAAAATTCCAACCAGTAACTTTTGAATTACTTGATTTTGTGCACTGAAGATTTACGACGTTTCTATCAACGTTTATAATTTGTAAAAATGTTCCAAGTATAATGAAAACTATACCATATATTTTAAATGTTCGTAAAATCATTTCTATGTGATCAATAAATTGATGAAAAAATAAATTATCTACTAAATACTGTCGAAAAAGGAGTTTGAGTCATTTGAAAAACAAAAGCAAGCTTAGTGTGGAACTCCACACTAGGACACTCCTTGCACAAAATCTCAGTAATTTTTAAATATTGCGGCCTCTGAGTGTGTTTAAAAATTTCAAAAGGTAAAAATGGGGATGAGTACACTTGGCGAATCACCCTGTATAATACTGTATTGTATTTATAAACACGCGTGGTGCATAACATAATAAAATATCGTTAGAAAGTCAAGGACGTCGGAGAATCTAGTCTATCGGAGACCAGTTTTAGGCGGTTCCGTTATTATTTTTTTCACTCCGACAATAATTGTCCGGATATCGGAGAATACCGACAGATGACAGTTAGTACCTATAAATTATAATACATTGCGAACGTGATAGATGTAATTAATTTTTTAAAAATAAATAACAATATCTTTCGTCGAATTATATAGTCAATTCTTTGTCTTTATATACACCTACTCTGTAACTTTTGCTCGTCTTGGTCGTAATAAATAAATAATATGTGGCCTGGTGTGGCGCGGTGGTCGGCCTCCGTCACAAAACGTGTTATGAGGTCAAACATCGACCAGTGTCACTAGTTCCCGGATGGGTGATCTCGACTCATTAGAAAAAAAAATAATAATAATAATAATATGTTACGTGATATAATATAAATGTATACCTAAAAGATTTCCTTGTGGGTATTTACAATCAAATTTAAGAAGACCTGACACAACGACGGACTGATTATAATATTTCTGTCTCTGCGCTGTAGTCTCAAAACATGTGTCTTTAATGACTTATAAGTTATAGTTCTCGATTAACGGTCAGGCATTAATAACAGGGATTAATGGGAATATTTGAAAATATATTAGGTCTTAGGTAGGTTATTAGGTACTGAGGTACAGTAAACACAGATGCACTGCTTACAGAATACATATATGACTGTAATAATATATGATTACTGTAGAGCAAGGACTTTTATGCACTAAAAAATCATCAAATACGAGTATATGCATATAAAAATATGCATATGCACTTGTGCATCAAATAATTAAAAACGTTCTACATTTTAAATAACACGTCCATATATTATATCCAACTGAAAAATTACATTTTTTCTTTAAAAATGTTATTAATATAATATTATTATTTATTAATAGTTGGCGCAATAGGCTAGTCTTATGTGCTAAAAATAACTTTTTTTTTATTTCGATTATTAGTTTACTTAATTCAATTTTTTTTTGTACCTATTTGTATGAAAAAAAAACAATAATACAGCCAATATAGATGTTATGCTTCTTATTCTTCTATTGGTGGATATAAAGGGAGAGTGGGCTGCCGTGTTAGCAATTCTTATGATTTTTGAGTACACTTAGAATTTTATAGTATGACAATAGATTTGTCTAAATACTGTCTCAAAACAATTTAAACATTTAAATTTACAAATTTTAAGCTAGTATAATTTTTGAGTTATGAAACTTTGTATTTTAAGGATAATATGTCTTTGGTAATGGGTTAAGTAGATGGGGGCTTAGACGATTTGAAAAAGTTAGCGATTACCTACTATTGATTTATCAATATAAATAATTTGTGAAAATGATCCAAGTATAATAAATACTAGGTACATCTAACATTACGTATAGTTTTATTTTGTTGTTTAAACCCATTCTTAGGGATTATTATCTTTATAGCATAACATTTTAATAACTCAGAAACTACACATTAGAATTTTGATTTAGATACATCTAAAAAAAATCATCTTCTAAATAATTTTCAGTAAAAAGGCGGGTTCCCATTTGAAAAATAAAAGTTTGTATCGCTCGCACTCCTAATAGTTGTACAAAAAATATCAGACATTTAAAAATACGGTCTTCAGGGCTACTTAAAAATTCTAAAAATCAGAATTTGAACAAATGTTCTATTTAAGGGAGACGCGGAGGTAAGCGTCCTTAAAAGATCGTCCTTTACATGTATATAAAACGCTCAGGCGCTTTCGACTTTAGTAATTCATATTTCTAATTAATTTTCAGGCTTGACGTGATGTGAAAAACCAAAAGATATTTATTGTCCAATCTGCAGCCAATCTTCCTTTACCGCGACGATGACGCTGCGACGTCACCTGGCGTTAGCCCTATGTCTCACCCTGTTTTGCCTGATAGAAGTGAGTTGGCGTTAAATATTGTACCAATAAAAACGGAACAAACTGTACAAACATTTCGACACTGTTGTCAATTTTTTTGTTTTATACGTCTGCGTGCAATTTTTTTAGTGGACCTACGGTGGCAAGTTGAAGAAAAAGCAGGATACGACGATGATGAAGTTCATCAAGTTACTATTCTACAGGCTGATTTACGGTTTCGCCAATATGATCGGCTTGGGAGACGCTGCCGAAGAATTCGGCGGCGGAGTGCTGGCCCCTCCGGATTACCGACAGGAAGACGCAGAGGACGACTATTACGACGACAATAATAACGACGATTATTACAGTAATTACGGAGCATATTAATGCCGAGACGAGCCCACCGCTACGCTTATCATCACATGTTTAAATTTAATTTATAAAATATTAATTATAAGATGTACTGCAGTAGTGTCTGATCAACAATTAAAATTACTATACCTATATACTTTGTTCGCGTCGAGTTTACGTTTATCGTGAAAAACGATGTCGTAAGCCACCAACAAGCAGTAAATCTATTTTTTTTTTTGTAAAAATCGACTTTCGGGTGTCTGTCGATAGGTATTCTCTATCGGTTCCTGCATGTGATAAAAATTGAGCTTTTCTTATTAGAAATGCATTTATAGACAGATAAGAAAATAACAAAAAGCAGTAAGTGATTTGGAGTTACCACTTTTTTTTTCTAGTAATGATTATTGTATTTGCAGAGCAGTTTGTCCGATAAAATTCAATTTTTTGGTTTAAATTTCACATTGATCCTGATGATTATTGGTATACATATAAATTACTGCAGGTAACTCGATAAGGAATAATATTGTCTCCACAAAATATTTAATAACAGTAGAAATCGTTTCTAATGATGTTCAAGGGACCAAGGAAAATAGGTTACAATAACCGATGGTCAAAACTATACAAAGGCTAACATGGTAGGGAGACACTATTCCGAATCTGTTTTTCACATATTTTTTTTCCCCAAAAAGTTCTTTTTAAAATGTTCAAGTACGTATAATAAAAAAATTAGTACAGGTAAATAAAATATAAAAGTGTATTAACATTTTAAATTATGACCAATGGCTGTGAGGTTTGCAATAATATCATTGTTATTAACAAATTGATAAAATTACAAAATTATAAATCATCATACAAACTATTTATAAAATGTTAATTTTAAAATGTACTTATAAGTATAATAAAAAAAGGAGTATAAATAAATGAGTGTTTTAAAATTTTTAATTATGACCATAGTAGAGGTATCAAATGATACCATTGTCATTAATAAATTCGTCGTACTTGGAAACAATATGTTATATATTTGTTAGCCTACTTTTTGTCGTACACTCGTACCATTTTACGACGCTTCCTTATTTTTTGTTAACATTAGTTCTTTCCAATCGTAGTACTGTATGGTACTGGTTCCATAATTACATACGCGTACCACTAGTCCAGACTCCAGACTATTATCTTAATGACTTGACATGACTACACTACAAATGGCTCAGATTAGATTAGGATTTTTTTTTTTTGAAAATATTAAATTTGTAAAAATATATACCTGGAGAATGTGTTTATGGTAAATATTGAAATTGGAGAAATTAAATTGGGATGAATATCAGATTTGGGAAAAGTAAAGTTGGGAAAAATTGATTGGAAAAAATGGATTAGAAAAACTTTCCAACAGTTTTAGCATCCCCGGAATGTCGGATTTAGTTATCCCGATGGTACAGATAGTTCATATTGTGGTGCTTATAAATATGATGATATAAATATGGTGATGTAGATTGTATAGACACATTAAAACAGGTCCTTCTACTTTCTATAGGTATACCGCAGCATCCGAAAGTCAGGTTTAAGGACGATCATGTTTTATTACACTTTAAATTAATCTGGTTTCGTATTTCATACAGGAAAATCTCAAAATATTGTTTTTTTTAGGTATTTATTGACTTACACCGATTCGATGTTAGAGCGCACTTGTCTATGTTTATATTGTCATAAGCAGAAATATGACTTTGAGTGGTGGTAGAAAAATGTACTTATTTAAACATTTAGACGTATTGACTGATTCCTATCCACCACTCTCTGCTTCCCATAATATTATAATGTCATAATACACTTGTCTATTATTATAGTACCTTTAATTTATTGTACTACTTGTACCTAACCTAATTTATTTTTGTAATGATGAGATTTCGATTGTAAAAAATAAAGTAATTATTTTCAGACATCAGACGCATGTAGACATGGTTTGATTAATTAGTAAATATCATAATCTGTACCTACCACCAATTGTGTATAGTTTTTTAGGCTATAGGTATAAGTAAGTATTTGAAGTTTTGAAATTAATTTTTATGAAAATATCTGTAACAAATAATGTTATTCGTTGTTGCGTTAAGAAATAAACACATTGAATAGGAAAATTCATATAAAATGTTTACAAACTCATTTTCACTTAATGAATACATACGTTTCATTGATATTTGATTAATTATATAACCCTTTTGAAATCATTTTTTTATGGTCTATTTGGAGGAGTTTATCCCGTGACCCGCGACCCGCCTCTACATCAGTCGAGAAACTGAAAATGTCACCCCGAAATGTATAATGCACAGCAAATTTGAATTTACCAACCAAATTAAAAATGTATGTTTTAACATTAAGGGACCATTTTTTTTGTTCAAAAACATGCCTTACAGAAAAAACTTTCATTTAGAATGATCGGATTTTGATGATTTTTTGGGGAAAGAGAAACACTTCTTACAGGAGGTGCATTGGACTTGACCGTATAACACGCGATTTTTAATTAAAAAATTTGTAGAAAGAATTTTACCAAAAAATTAGTAAAATTAAATTTTTATTATGTTTGTTTTAAGCAATGAAATTTAAAATTACCCAGTACAATTATTTCCTCTATCTAATTACAAAAAAATTAATCATTTTTAGTCGGCAATCACACTCTCACTATTACACTAATCATCGGCGGTAGCAGCGAATTGCATATTGCCTACATATTGCCCCTTACTATAAAAGACGAGTCGAGCCAGCCTTAAAGGTTAAAATTTTACTTCGCGAGACGTTCCGAGATCACTTTACCTACATATTTAGAAGTAGAAAATATGGACACCACGCATTACTGTTCCAGAAACGGTTTTCAAAGAAAGTTTCATTAACAATATATGACAAAAAACATTATGTATAGGTACAATAGGCACATGTCATAATTGTTGTAGGTAGGTACGTATGAAAGTGTACAAAAAAAGTTAGATATTCTAACAGAAGACAAAATGTAAGTATAACTACATTTTGTAGTAAACTTTAATTTTGATTAACACAGGTATTTACTTTTGTCTTATATGTTTTAGACTTTCTTAATAATACCTATTATTTTAACGTGTAGGTAGATATTTTGTCATACTTACGATAATTGTTGATACCTAATAATATCATATAGGTACTAGGTTCTTTACATAGATGTTAGGCAACTTGATGGTGAAAATTTTTTCGGAAACTATTAACCTATCTACATATTTTTATATATTAAAATGTTACCTAAAATAACTTTACTATTTTGTTTATATCAAATAAATTAGATATGTGAATAATTATTGTTAGATTTGTCTATCCTTAGCACTTGGTCTTTTTACAATGGTAATTTTGTTATAATTGGTAGGTATCCTAACCTCTACTTGTACGTTAACTATAATAACTCATAAATAGGGCTCGGAAGTTGTTGCATTGAAAATCATGAAAATATGCATGCAAAAATGCATTAAAATATTATCAAAAATCCACGAAAATATACACAAAAAAGTTATATGCACTGAAATATGCATTGAAATATTATGTAATTCAATTATTATTTTTATTTTAAATATAATTTAATAAATAATAATTAATAATTTAAATAATACGAATGTGAATAAAAATTAGTATTTGTACGTTTTAATACTAAACATAGTCTAAAGTTTCAGTTTGCAGAGTTTCTTTCGAAAAAGTTTTATCCCGAGTTTTCTGGCTCTGAAAAATTAAAACAATTTTCTTTAAGTACCTATTTTTACTGTTTATAGTGTTGTATATTATTTTTCCTTGGAAATTGCATTGAACGATTAAAGATTTTTTGATATTTTCGAATTCGAACGATTGTCGATTGGAAGTGAGTAAATTTTTGTACGCCGAAAACGAACGTTCTACGTCAACTGATGTTATTAAACAGTTTTTCATACACGTGAGATCATTTAAACTCCAATCTTCGGGCAATCCATCTGTGTCTTCTTTTCCATTTAGTATCTCTGATATTTTTAAAACTGCTTGATAGCCTTTATTTTTTGATAAAACAGACTCAATCTTATTTTTAATTGTTTTCCCCATTTCACCATTAATTTTAATTAATTTTTCTTTTGCTTCTTCGACAATAGAAATGGAATCTACTGGTGGAATTTCTTGTTTTTCAAGTCTTGTAATTAAATCGGGTAAAAATCCAAAATTTGATTTAATAAATACAAGTTGGGCTTCAATATTTTGATCAGAGATACTTTTTAGAATTTTTTATTGATACTGCATCGTTGTCATCAAAAGAATTTACGATTAATTTTATTTGCTCAAAATGTTCACAGTAGTAATTGGCTGCGTTTATCCAAGTACCCCATCTTGTCAAAATTGGTTCTGGTGGTAGGGATAGAGATGGGGCTATTGATTTAAAATATTGAATGCGAGAATGTGCTTTACGGAAAACCTTTTTCACATTTGCGATAAGTTTGTCAACTTTTGGATATCCTACTCGTACAGTTTCCGCAACCCTATGAAATGCATGGGCCAAAAAAGTAATATGCGTAAAGATTTGAATAAAATAATTTAATGGCTTCTCCAGCTTTAACCATATAGGGGGCAGCGTCACTATGAAATAATAATACTTTATCGTGCTGAACATCTTTCGGCCAAAGTAGGTTCATTGATCTATCGAATAATTTACAAATTGTGGAATGATTACATTTTTCCAGCTCCTCAGAATGTAAAAGAAAAATCTTACAACTCTCAGTGTCATTTAAAATGCCAATAACAACATTTGCCACATATCTGCCTGTAACATCGGTTGTCTCATCTATTGACACCCAAATACATTTATTTTGAACATAGTTCCTAATTTTTTGAATTGTACTTTCATAAATTTCATTAACATACCCTTTCCTTAATGTCGATTCACAAGGAATATCTTTAGCAGTGTACATCGATAGAAATTCTTTAAAACATGGATTGGATAATTTATTCAAAGGTATATTGGCTGTCAACAAAGCCTTACATAGATCGTGATTGAATCTAGACTTTTTTGTAGCATCCGTTATAACTGGTTGTGTAAGTATTGTTGTGTGCGTAATCTCAAAGGCTCCAAAAGCCGTAAGCTTTAGAGACAAATCAACAAGACACAAGTACCAAATTGAACTGTAGAATTATGTTTATTTAGCAGAAAATATAGTAATAGTATAATAGCGTGTGCGCGTGTGACGAGAAGTTGCTCAGGTCTCCGTGGCTATGATACATCTGCTCAGGCTGTCCCACGGGCTCCCTTATAAGTGGTGGCGGTTCCTTTGATTGTAGCGGCGCGTGCAGCTTGTGTGTGTGTGTGTGTTTCGATAGTTGTTGTCAATTCTTAGAATAGCGACTCGTGTCCATGATTTCTAATCGTGTACCTGTCCAGTGATTTATGGATAGGGGCGAATAGTACATGTTCTATATTATATTGTTGCGATATTTATGTTAATTATATATATTCGGTTTAAGGCCATAATAACATTATGATATATTATATTATAATATACTTATACTATGTTATATACTATGTTATTATATATCGAATAGTGGCGCCTAGAGTCTCAAGGCCCGCAACAGTATTTTACTTGTACAATTTTCAACGCGCTTAGCTGCCCGCTTATGTTTTTCCGTCTTAAGATGTAGGGTGACAATAAACGTTTTATCCGAGCTCACTTTTGTTTCACAAAAATTACAAAACAATACATTTTGGTCTGCTGAAAAAACATCTGAACCAAATTTGTTTATATATTTTTTAACTAAAACACTCGTTATTTGCTGAGGCATTTTTGTTGCGAAACGAAATTAAATTCAAAATGTAATGAAATTTACAACAAAAATAAAAATAAAATATTACGATCGTACGAAGTGCACACGAGACTGCAAGATACGAGACTGATATGTGAGCAATATAGCTAGCAGAGTAATGACGAGCCGTGAATAGGAGACTATTTTTAAAAAAAAAACCAGAAAGTTCTCTTCAAATATCTTATCTTTATACGATATTTATCGATAATAATTGGTTTCGATAGTGCACAGAAAACTCTTATTAACTATTATAAGAAATATTATAGGTACCAGGTACGTCTTACTTAAAATATAGCATGTTATATGCATAAAAAAATGTTAATTGTGAAAAATTGCGTGTTTTCATTAAAACCTCAAAATATGCAAAAAATATGCAATTTTTTTTTGATATATTTAAATTCGTTACAACTTGAAACAAATTTCTGTCTTACTTAGCAATTTATTGGACTATTTAATAAAAATATGCAAATTCAATAAGTCCCGAGCCCTACTCATAAACTACTCATTTCAATTATGATGTCGAGGTGTTAAGAATATGATATAATATATACAGAACGATGATTTGATGACATGGACCGGATAATTTAAGGCTTTGAATACGATTAACCTGTGTCACAAGAAAGTGGGTTATGATGACTAATTATCAAACTTCAGTAAATTCTATTATTATTTAAATAGAAAATAAATATTGTATTGATAAAATAATTGAGTTAAATGCACTGATGAAATCATGAAATAATAAGCCAATTCTTAATATAAATATATACTGTCCTATAGATTTATCAATTATTCAAAAAAAATCTTCAAATGAGTTTTTAAGCCAAGACTGGAATACTTAAAACCTTATTTATTGTAATATTCTTGTTTATAGTTTTGATACACTGTAAAAAATATTTTAACTGCATGCTTACAAATTTAACTTAACTAAAAAATATTTATTGGGCAATTATTATATAAAGTAAAATCTATTATAAATACATAAGAACTAAAAATGATCACAGTATTAGGATATTAATTATTAAGTTTAGAATTGCAAAAGTATAAAAAAAAATAACTTATACATATATAGTTAATTAAAATTAAGTTTATATATTGATTATGTAATAAATTCATAAAACATAGATGATAATATTTTTTAAGTATGTATAAGCTATATTGCATCAAATCCTGACTTAATACACTTACAGTCGATAAATATATTCTTAGTCTTAACATGTTTTTAACATATTGAACAAAAGTGAATGATACTACTTTATAGTATTTTTATAATGTTATTCATGATAAATTACAAATCATTAAGTTGTTTTTCAACAGAATCGTCGAGTGCAATATCAGAATATGAACGGTTTTGATATTCCTGAGCATCCATAAGTTCTTCTTTAATATTTTCTCCAATGCTTTCTTGACTGCTTTGAGGATTTTCAATCATTTCTTGCAAATCAAACTCCAATGAATTGTTCATCATTTGACTGGCTGTTGAAAATACAAAAGTTAATATTAAAAACTAAGAAGTATAAATTTAGGATTTCAGCCAAGAATTACTTACTAAGTTCAAAACATATCTATCTGAATTGCATGTAACTATGCAATAAAACAAATAATTTAATTTGTTGAATCTATTATTTTACCCTAAGTAAATGTATAAAGTAAACACTTTGGTGATGCGGGTGTTTATTTTTTATTTTATAAATATAGTGAAATCTCCATTACAATACTCGTGATTATGCTATTGAGAACATTTAAGGAAAAATAGTAATACATTTAATTAACATTTAAGAATTATTAGAAAACATGGTATTTTAATTTAAATATTAGAATAATTAGTTTAAGGTATGGTGTTTATACTAGAGTATTTTAATAATCATAAGTGAATGAAAAAAAAATTAAAAATAATATCAAAAGTCTATACTAAACTGAATTTTTTTTCTGTTTTGCGAGTTTGAATTTCTTTGCAGACATTATGTTCGGACATAACTCAAACCCAAAATCATCTGTCATTACTAGGGAATGGATTTTAACTTAAATAAATATTTTTATGTATTAATAGCATCGGAAAGTTTTCGATATATGTATACGTTTCATTTAATTTCAAGTAATCTGATGCTAATTTTATTTATTTATTTTTTTTTTTTTTTAAATATTTTAGAGTAATTAAATTTTTTTACAAATGAATACATAAATTATGTAATATTGTAGAATTTTCGTGTATATTTTAATTATTTTACAAATAAATATACGTATTTTGTATTATTGGAAAATTTCCGTTTTTATTTTAGTATTTTGCGATACGATTAGGTCTCTGTACTGTACACCTATGACATCAAACAACAATCTAGTTATCTAGTTATCTTAGATATGATAAGTTATCTAAGTAGTACGTAGTAATTTTAGTATACGAGTATATGTGTTCACTTTTCGATCAGTATTCGTATGAGCGTTATTCGATCACGTTATTTTCGTATTGTGTCTGTTTGTGTAATTTGTATAATATAATATTGTTCACTGTTTAAATATGCCCAAAGTAGCTCGCACTAAAAGGTCAAAAGTTAGTATTTATTTGGAAGAATTTCCAAATGATACTTTTAGGAGTGATAGACAAGTTTTATACTGTCAGTCTTGTGATAAATCAGTATCTATCCACCAACGTGGTCAAGTTATTCAGCACATCAATACCAGTAAACATAGAGGCAATAAAGACAGAAAGCTTATATTTCAACAAAATTTTATTTCTACATCATCCGCATCTACCAATAGTAAGTCAGATTTTAATGATGATTTGTGTCGTGCACTAATACGTTCAGACATTCCTCTTTTTAAATTGAAAAATGTTGCATTTAAAAATTTTATGGAAAAATATACTGGTCATGAAATTCCCAACGAGAGTACACTTCAAAAAAATTATGTTAGTGGGGTCTACGAAGAAACTATTTCAAAAATTCAAAATATCATTGGAGATGGGCCTATTTGGGTTGGAGTGGATGAAACAACAGACGCCGACAGTCGATATATTGCAAATGTTACTGTAGGAAAATTGAGCACTGAACCATCTACACCATTTTTATTATGCTGTGAAGAATTAGATAAATGCAACCACAAAACTATATGTCAATACACAATAATGTACTGTTACTTTTAACGGACGCCACGCCATATATGTGTAAGGCGGGAAAAGTGTTGGATATATTTTATCCAAGAATGATACATTTAAATTGTCTTGTACATGATTTCATCATATAGCTGAAACAATTAGATTTCAATTTTCTGAAGTTGATTTGTTAATTTCCAACGTAAAAAAAATGATTTTAAAAGCGCCAAGTCGTGTACAAACATTTAAAGATATGTACCCGCATTTGACTCTACTTCCCGATTATAACTATTATAACTCGATGGGGTACGTGGTTATCAGCTGTATATTATTCAAATAACTTTGAAAAGATTAGAAACATTGTCTTAAATTTAGATCCCGATGCTGCAATGGCAATAAAAAAAACTGTTGGGCTCATAGACAGTAAAAATTTGCAAAACAATTTACCATTTATTTCGACTAATTTTGGATTTTTAGTTGATACTATTTCAAAATTAGAAACTTCTAAAATACCACTAACGGAGAGCTTAGAAATAGTTGATAATGCCATAAAGCAATTAGAACGTGTTCCTGGAGAAATTGGAGTTTTAACTTTTAACCAATTCAAAATTAAAAAATGTCTTGGAAAAAAAACACAGGATTTAATACTGTTATGTCAATAAGAGACATACTATTAAACAAAACTCCAAATAACAATTATTCAGAAATTGAATACATTCCAAAAGAAATAATGGGTATGAAATATGCACCTGTCACCTCCGTTAATGTGGAGAGGTTATTCAGCCGTTACAAAGCAATGTTAAGACCGAACCGCTGCCACTTTACATTTGAAAATGTCAAGCTATATGTTGTTTCTAACTGTTTCCCACATGAAGACAATGTGATGATTCAGAATACATTTTTAATTTTTTTATTAATTATTTAATGTTATTTTTAATTTAAATATTTAAATATACATTTATAAATATATATATAAATATTTATTAAGTAATAAACAAATATATATTTAAATATTTTTGATTTTATACTAAAATAAAATCCGTTCCCTAGTCATTACTGTCTGTGACATAAGAGATATTAAGTTCATAAATGACAATTCAAAATGATTTTTTTGGTTGGTATATTATGTACATCTTGTTATATGTTCCTGCCATCTTTAATCTTAATATTAATTTTTTTGTGATAGCCTTAACATCTGTAATAAATGACTACTAATAGAGATTACACGATGTATTCTGATTATTCACATTTCTGACATTAACTTTCATCAAACAGATTTGTAGAGGATATATTAAAGAAAACAATTTATGTTATTCAACAAGATAAGGCACTAGCGTCCTACTGACACCACTGAACTATTCCCACTTCTCATCACCCGACAGCGAGCAAGTTATTGCCAACTACCAAATATTTGATAGTTGTTACCGAACGGACAAAAATGGTGAGAGATGAGCATCAACCAACCAAAAAACATGTACTTTCTATCCTGGAAATGAGTATAAATTGTTGCTTTTTGGGAACTGACAGATTATTTTGCTACATTTCATCAGCTTATTTATTCAATTCACAGTACCAAAAATTATAATTTTACTGGAAAATTGAATTTATTATAAATAGATAAAACAAGAATTTTTTTTAGATAAATAACAGCCATTTCCTAAGATACTATTTAAGATTTGATAATGAAGATGTATATTGGGGAAAGCAAATGTAATTATTATGACGTATTATTATTAAAATATGTAAACACAATTTTGCAAATTACCCGGCTCATATTATTTTTCAACGTGATGTATAACTTTAATACATAGTATGCAATTCAGAAGAACCAAAATTAAATAATTAAATCAAAATTAATTACATGATGGGAAGGGATTATCTTCAATTTCTAATTTTCTAGATGCCTCCAACATTTCTGCAGCTGTTGTTTTAGTGTCCTTACGCATATTTCCTCCAGAATACTGCACATAAACATAAACATAATACAAATATTAATTAAAATTAAAAAAATATTCTATTGACCGTCCATAGTGCACAAGAAGCAGGTTAATCAGTACTATTATTGATCATAAATACTATTAAAATCAATGGTATTACAAATGTATACTATCACTCTACAGCTTTAAATTAATAACTGATCTCCTCTAATAGAAATAATGTATTAGTAGGATTGTGTTAGAAATTCTAAGGTTAAAACCACAATACCCATCACAATACTTTTTGCCAGTGAACTAAGATATGTATTGTAAAAGAAATTGTAACTTGGTAAATTAAACAGCCTACTAGCAAATTACTAATTAATGAGTTTGAAAAATGGGTACTTGTGCGTCATTGCGCCTACCGCGCGCCACATATGCATCATCGCGACTACCTCATATTATGGGTTATTGCGAGGCCGTTTTATATGCGATTCTATTTTTTCCAGTGTCGTTACAATTGCACTTATCCCAATTTTTATAGACTAGCTGGGTAACTTTTAGGACATTTAGTTAAAACCACGCTGTCACGCTGGTAGTAGTAATAACTTGTTGTACATTTCAATTATTTGGCAATGGATCTGTGGAACTTACCAACTACAGAAAGAGATGCTGTAGCTTTTTTTCAAGAAAAAGGCATTTTACCACATCAACGAATCTGTGCGAACGGTCACAAACTGAAACTCTATTTTGGGAAAAAGTATTTTAGAAGTGCAATGTGAAAAGTTGTCAGCAAAAAGTTAACATGTGTGTTGCCAATTGGTTTGTGAATAGTCGCATATCATTTTTGCAAGCTTTAGGTTTCATGTTTTGTTGGACAGAGGAAATGACTTATGACTTCAGTGAAATTTTGTGAAAAACAGTTAGCAGTAATACGGTAAATTATTGGAATAATTATTTATGGGAAGTATGTGTTATAACTTTGAGAGAAAGAGAAAATAAAAAAATTGGAGGAAAGGGAAAAATAGTGGAAATTGACGAAAGTTTGTTCACTAAACGTAAAAATAATTGTGGAAGAGCACTTCCCCAGCAATGGATTTTCGGCGGAATATGCCGTGAAACAAAAGAGGTATTTTTAGTAGAAGTTCCTGATTGGTCTTCTGCTACTTTGATGTCAAAAATACATCAACACATAGAGAAAGGGACGATAATTTACTCTGATTGCTGGCGGGCATATAACACAATACAAGATAATGGCTATGAGCATTTTACAGTGAATCATTCTTAGAATTTCGTTGATCCAAGTACACATGCTCACACACAAGGAATAGAAAGACTTTGGGGATCGGCGAAATGGAGAAACAAACGTCATAGAGGTACAGCGCAACACCATTTAGAATCTTACTTGGCAGAGTTTATGTGGAGGAATACTTATCATAATGAAGATAAGTTTAAAGTTTTACTTAATAGTATTGCAAATCATTGGCCACCACAAATTGACTTATAAATTTTATAAATTTTACTCGTAATTGTTGACGTTTAAATTTGACATATTATTATTATATTTTATAATTATTATCATATAATCAATAAATACATTGACATTAACTTTGGGTAGTTTTGTATTATTATAAACATATTAAAAATATGTTGCGTTCGAAATCAAGGTAGTCGCGATAATGCACAAGTGAAATCAAGGTAGTCGCGAGAACGCACAAGTACCGAAAAAAGTATACAACATAATTAACAAAGGATATTTTTAGGATATACTATTACCAAATCATTCCTAAGCCTGTAGTTTGTTTGTAAGAAATTTGAACGATCGTGAGGAATTCGCAGTCCACTTGCAGGCCTTACTGGAGGTAATGGTATTTTGTTTACTTCACGACTTGCCGTCATTAATACCTAAAAATTAAAACAGTAAGTTATAAACTCTTAAGTCTTAGCTTTAGTTGTAATTAAGACAATATATTTATATCATTGAATAAAGTTAACATACTAATTTCTGTAAACAGTAGTTCATTCTTTTGCCATCATTCTCTAGTTGTATGATGTTAAAATCTAATAAACCTACGTACAAAATAAAATTGATCTTACATCGCGAGGGGGAGGTCGACAAAATATTCCGTCTTGCGCCAGTTGTATTGCAATTTTCACATCGTCGGCATCAACATTCTTCTTTTTAGCGAAGTTTGAAAATGTCTTAGCATCGTCCAACAGTAGTGTCGTATATCCTAACAATTAAAATAAATATTATTCGTAACAGTGAAAAACAACACATTTGATTCGTTGAATTAATAATTACTGTAGTTAAACTCCAAGAGATGATTCAATACTTGTTGATCGTATTCAACAATTCCCAAGTCTTTCATAATCGACACGATGATCTGAGTGTCTTTGGGCATGTGTTTTCCTTGTGAAGACGCCATTTTACCAAGCCAAAGGCTTATAAATTATTATAACAGAAAGTTTTATTGGAGATTAACAGTTTTAATTTTTTAGGTACACAGACCACGGAGGTCGGAGACGACTAGACGAGAGAAAATTAAAGATATTATTATCATACAGTCTGCGGCTAACGCTAATCACGAATAAATAAATAAATAAATAAATAAATAATACGTCTGATAAAATGTCTAAAATCGGTTATCACATAATATTTGAAAGGTTCCAAATCTTGGGTCATGGTTACTTGTCCCACAGTCCACAAAGCCTAACGACGGTACACGATTGGTAACGCGCATAATATAGATTATGATGCTTCCATGTAATAACAATAATATTTAATATCAATAATACGGATCAAGAATATTATAACAATATTTAATATATTTTCATAAATTTCAGAATTTAACTAATAATAATAATAATAGAGTCTCCGAATTTTTTTTCTGACAACAATAATATTCAATTTCAAAAAATCGCATTTATAACAGACGCATCACGCATGCGCAGCACGGTTATACACACAAACGTAAATATTTACACACCAACTCGTGCGTGCGAGTTCGTCATTATATTTTAGTATCATAGGTATTATTATATTTTGGGCGTCTAATGACTAATGTCAACAGTCGATAATATCGGATTCGACCGTTTCTTGAGCTCACCCGCGATTTGATTTATTTTTGTTAATAATTATTGTTATCGTCGTAGAAATTATTTATCATTCAATATTGACTGTCGTCTGTCGCGACCACGACGAGAGACGCTACACTCTCGTTGATCGATTGTAATAATATATTATTTTTTTTTTCAACTATTCCTATCGCCGCTTGCTCGCGGACTTACCACCACCGGCCATATCGTGTGTCGACAATGCCTAACAACCAGTTCATGCATCCGAGAAATATTTACCGGAAACCACCTGCTTTTAAGGAGCTGGCTGTAAAGTATCCGGAGTTCAATAAATATGCGTCAGTTGTAAGTACACCTAGGTTGTCAGTTTTTTTTTCAAAATTCTGACAAGCAATGAATTTTTAACAGTTAATGTTATTTTCCTTTTTGATTTCTGTAATTTGGTATTATACTGTTGTCTGACGACGATTCGTTTTGCTCAGGGTTTGAATGGCAAAATCTTCTTTGACTTCAAAAATCAGGATGGCCTCAGATTATTGACCACTATACTGTTGAAGAAAGACTTTGATTTAGACGTGGATTTGCCAGTCGGGAGACTGATACCCACTATTCCGTTACGACTTAACTATTTACTGTGGATTGAGGATCTGTTCAACCTGAATTATGACAATACGAAGAAAATCAAAGGAATCGATATAGGTACGTATAAAGAATATTAAGGTTAATTCACTTAATAATGTATCATAAGAGTTAACACTGTAATAAGCACATTTGCACATGTGAAAAAATAAAAATTTAAATTCTATCTAATGATAGGTATGAATAATGTTTTCAAATTTAATTTTAAATTATGGTAAATTTATTGTGTTTCTCTATGTTTCAACAATTTGCAATATTCACAATTAGTAAGAATCTCGTAAATTATAATTTGCTTATCTTATAATAATTATTTGTTTGTATTTTTCAAATGTATTAGGAAAATGGTAATCTATCTCTACAAAAAAATCAGTATTTGACAATAATATTGATCTTATTTTATTTTTAAAGCCACTTAAAGACTAATTACCATAGTTATTGAAATTTTCACCAACCTTTTTATACATAACATCAAAATATTTTTATGCTTTTTGAGCTATACATATGCATACATATTACATAGTACCTATAATAGATAGGATATTTGATTTTTTCTAAAAATATTAATAAAATTATGCTCATTTAAAATCCTTGAAAATTCAATAGAAAATCTCTCATAAGTTATTCATGTAACAATTAAAAAATCTTGGCAATACCAAGTCTTTATAATAATATATAAGTGTTTGAAGTTCAAATTTTGACAAAATCAAAAAAATGTTTGAATTATAACGTTAAAAATTCCCCCCCAAAAATTTTTTTTCATACTTACGATTCGAAAATGAATACAAGATTCTTTATTAGTTGTTAAGACTGAATTTTAAAAAAAAAGTGGAGCGTAATTGCACAAATATTTGTTATGAGTATTTGTAATTTAAATTTAAACAAAATAGTATATTCAACCTTAAAATTACAATTTTCTTTTATTCTTGTACTTTAAAAATGAATGACTTATTTATAGTGCACGATACAGGCACAAGGTTCGTAATAAATAGTTCATACTGGAATCAAAAAATTTGCATATTAAATTTTTATTTAGTCATTCAAAGTTAAATTTTGGACAAAATTTTGTATTTAAACAAAAAATAACGATTGTATTTATTTTGTAGTATTTCAAAAATATTTTGCTTGGAGATTTGAAACTTTTACATAATGTACCTATTATTACATTTTATATTCACAATGACTTCATCAAAATATGAAGATTAATTCTATATTACTGCCTTATAATTGAATATTTATACCGTATTACTTTAATTATTAATTGCAATATGTTTATAAGATAATAGGTCGACACTTTGACAGACTGTTTCGTTGAAAATCGTATTTCTAATTAAGCATAGTATATTATATACTATGTGCAAACTGCTAATATAAACTTTACCTATTTTAAGTTCTTAATTTTTTATATTAGTACGCTTGGTGGTTGATAATTAAAATAAAACTAATTTTTTTCAGGCACAGGGTCATCGTGTATTTATCCATTATTAGCAGCTAAACAATTTCAGTGGTCTATGGTCGGTACTGATATCAATAAAGAAGCTATTAAAAATGCTATTAAAAATGTAGAAAAAAATAATTTACAAAATTTAATTCAAGGTAATTTACAAGAGTAATGAAGTATTGTGAAATGTCTTAATTCAATTTTTCTGTTTGTAGTTCTGGAAGTATCAGAATGGGAAAGATTATTGCCTGTAGCAGTAGATGAACATTATGACTTTTGTATGTGTAACCCGCCCTTTCATAGTTTTTCAAATCTAAATTCATCTGACGATGAGGCAGATAATGCAACTGGGGCTACTTCTGAAATGTATACAATGGGTGGAGAAGTTGATTTTGTTAAAAAGATGATCAAGGAGAGTGAAATATTACAGAATTCGATAAGGTAACAATAACATTGTATTATTTATATATTGTATTACGATTAGTTTACTAATTAGAAATTTGTAGTGTTGGCCAGCAATATATTTTTAATTATATTGTATTTATTTTTCTAATATCGTATCGCGATTTCGGAAAAATACCGATATCGATTTAAATTTTTACACAATTACAACAAGTTACATTTTATATAATTTAGTTTATTGTACTTAGCTCTGTCACGTGTCACATGTAAATAAAATCTATTTGTGCTGGCCCTAGAAGCGAGACACTTAAAGTGTTGTATCCAGAAATATTTAATGCTTAAGATAAATTAATATGATTGACAAAAAAATAAAAATCATGCATCAAAACGAAACAAATATATTCCACACGTATATATAAAATTGTACTAAAAAAATTAAATCAAATTAAAAATCTGATATAATTCTTATCAAACTTTTCACATATTTCTAAACATATATAAATGTAATTAAATCGAGCAATAGCAAAGCATTGCCGGGTCAGCAAGTATAATTATAAAATTATTAATTAATAACAAAATAGAATCATTACGAGGTCTTACTCTGAGTTAACCGACATTGAATTTAGATTAAATTGTTTAGTGTGTTGAACTATTTCTTTGTAATATATCGCAATATGCTATAATTTATTATAGATAAAAGTTATAAAAGTGAATATCCGTCAACTTTATTGTTTCGAACCGATATCGCAATATTTTCGATAATTATTTTTAGATAACGATATCGAAATTATTCAGAAAATACCCACGATATCGATATTATATCGTTGGCTAACACTAGAAATTAGTACTCGATTAGACTACTTAGACTACTTGGAAATCTGTTTAGTGTAAAAATATTCTTATTGATTAATAATTATTACTATATCCATATTATTGTTTGTTTAAAGTTATCAAATAATATAACATATTTTGACAAAATTCTAGTTTAGCTTTTAGGAAAACTTCCAATTTTTAATCCCATGTATTTTTTTCATGAAAAATGTATGATACAATCAATGTTTGTTATTTGTACTCAGTTTTCAATTTTTAACTCTTTAAAGTTTGCATATTTGTTAGGTAGTAGTGTAGAACCTTGTCACAGACTAAGATATATCTTAGTTTTGTGTAGAGTTTTAAATACTTTATATTTTCTATTCCTAAGTTATGTAATCTCTAGTGCCCTAAAAGTTTAACAAACTAGAATTCAATATTCGTACATTTTATGAGGCTCGACTGATTTTTATTTTATTACTTGCTTGGGGTAGTTTTACATAACAAGTCAAGGGATATTTCCCTAAAAAATTGTTCTCTGTCTACAAAACTGCACGTCTGCACTGTATGAATATGATGTAACAACGTAAGCGAAATCTGATAGGAATCATATTCAAATTAATATTATTTTTCTCAAATACTCTTTCTCTTTTTATTTTTAAAACAATTGATTTTTGGGTAATTAAATATCATTGCAATCTTTTGAACGTAGGTCTAGAAGTAAGTATGCCTGACTTATTTCTAAAATTCCCCTAAAAACGGAGAAAAGAAATGTTTGAAAATTAGGTCAAGAGCTACACTAGAATATTGTTCCATGTCAATGCATCCCTAATAAGTGTATAAAGTAATTTTATGTTAAAGTTATAAACTTGACTAATTGAACAGGGATGTCAGCTAAAGTAAAATTTTTAAGATTGTGTTTTGCATGTTATTCATACAAGAAATATACAATATCAATTGGAAAATATGTATAACAATATTGTAAGTTTGGAGAACATGTCATGCACAGTGTTATCCAACTGACATGCCTATTTATTTAGTCATGATAATATACACAAACACAATAGTGTTTGCGAATAATTAATAAAAAACAACAGACACATTTCATAATTATATCATATCGAACATAGCTCATAATGAAATATAATTAAAATTTTTTGTGATTCTTTGTTATCAGACAAATACATTATAACTTACAGTTGGTTTAATTTTTTGAAGAATTCTCTATTCATTTTTAAATTAAATGTATTGTTAACACATGATAGATTATGGAGTTATAAATTGAATAATATCGAGATGTATAAAAATACTAGATATTATCCTACTTGGAAATAATTTTGAAACCGGCCGAAATTCTCTTATCTTAGCACCATACAGTTTCATAACATTGATAAAGATATTATTGTTATCACTTATCACTTATCCTATTAAATAATAAAAATCAGTTCATGATTTTATTGTTTTAATAACTTAACTAACTTAAACCTGAAATTTATATTGTAAACTTTAAACTTATTAAACAGTTATGTAAATTATGTATTAAGTACTTATCTCCTTAATTGAGTACCAATATTTATCATGAGAGTATTACATTCATAAATATATATTTAAATAAATCTATTGGCTAATACATTTTTAAAAAACAATTGCATTATTTAAATAATAAGTTTACATACATTTACTATTTTTTTTAAATACTATAAATGTAATGTTTTTATATTGTGCTAAGTTGTAATGAAGTAAATATTTTTTAACATGCAAGTATAGATAAACAGATAAAAATATTCAAACAATCAACCAAATGTGATATACTTGTAGGTAATAAATATGTATACATAAATTATACAAAATAATTTTGAACAATTAAAACGATATTGATAATCATAGCCATGATCGCTAGTCTAGTAGGTAATTATAAAAATATATAAAATACTAGTGATTCGCCCCAGCATTTAAATTACATGCTGTAAAAGACCATATTGATTTATATTAAATGCACAGTGTATTTAGGGTATTTAATTGGATAAGGATTAATGCTGTATTACTTAAAAATTAATTCTTAATTCTTTCCATAAATTGTTATGGTAATAGTTTGTAAACATTCACCTCTTAGATAAGAGAATTTCTGCCAATTTGTTGGCTTCATATTTTTTACATTGTAGGAATAGGGAGTTTTCTATCTTGTATTTTTATATATCTGTACATAATATTGTTTTATATTAGTTTTTAATCTTAGATATTTATTTTTCATATAACAACTTAAATTTATAGTTTATAATTATTAATTGGAGAAAAATTGAAATTCTTTCTAAGGGTGCAGCTAATCCATATTAAATTATTTCTTTTACAATGACTATTAAAATTTAAAATAATCCATATATATTGGATACATTTTGATTAACTAATTCAATAATGTTAGTTTTTACTATAGATGTGTGTATTCTCAACGTACAGTTTTGCATTAAAATACTCACATTAATTATTATTTGCAAAAACTATAGATTATGACTTAAACCCGTAAGAGTCAAGGTTCTATTAAAAAATCAACAAACATTTTTATTACCATTATAGATGCGAGATGCCTATATTTATGTGATATTTTAACATATATTGTAGGAACCCACATCTGTGTTATTTACACCATCTAGTGCTAATTCTAACACTGTTCATTTCTAAAAAAATGTTCCAGAACATTTCAGATTTTAGCAACTTCTGCTTTGTAAGTCAAACCTGCCCATGGCGTTAAATTATAACTAGGGCAAATTTAAACGCCCTTAACCCATACAAATATGCTCTAAGAAATAGCCATAAATGCCCTTAAAAAATAAATTTTACAACAAAAATGACCTTAAAAATGCCATGTATTATTTATTTATACAATTTGGAATTTATAAATAAGATAATTATTATTTTATTAAAAAAAATTGAAATTTGAAAAATTGATGGTGTTACGGCCTTTTGGGGCCTAATCATCCACTCTAAACATACCAAAATATACATGGGAGATTTATGTAAAACTAAAACTCCAAGTAATCATATTTTAGGTACTCGTCCAATATGCTATCTACCACACGTTTGATGGTTTAGTGTATGATATCTACCACAAATATTTTATCTACCATCGACTTAGTTGATCTTCATCTTTTCGTAAACACCTCGGCTTGTGTTACCTTTATTTGAAATACCCAATACCAAACAAGTTCTACGATATCGCACAAATTTAAACCATTTTATTTATATTATTATGTATATATATATATTACATTATATTTTATTTATTATTATTTATATATTTTTTTTATTTTTTTTTTTCACTATTGTTACACTTCCCATTTTTATCCATGTATGTAAAAAGGTTATTGTTTTTGCGTATGGAGTAAAATGTTTGGCACCCTTTTTTTGTACATCGATAATAAATTGTTTTCAAAATATTACCTTCCGAATCACGTTTTTGACTATTTTTTAGAACTTTTTTCAACACCACAAATTGTTGGGTTTTTAATTTTTGTAAATGTTTGTTTGATTGGTAATAATTGAGAATGTTTATAAAATGTTCTCACATCTCTTCATTTTGAATTATGTGTTGATATAAATGACACATAGTTGACAAACTCACAATACAACACGACTCATAAACACTCTCTAAACAGGTATAATATAAAGGTATACCTACTAACCTACCTAACCTACTAAATTACGGAAGATAGCATATTGGACAAGTACTTATTTTACTTTAAATTTTGAGCATTGTATTGAAAAATAATATAGTGTTAAATATGATCAAACACCAAAGATATTCTATTATCCAAAAAAATATTTTTCGTCAAAATATGCAAAATTTTTATTTTTAAAGCACTGGGTTCATGAAAGCATTGTCTAAGATCGACCAAAAAAATATGCACTTTGCATTGAAATGCGAGCCCTAATTAAAACATACTTTCCCAATTAAAACAATACGACCTTAATAGAGATGTAAAATAAATAAATAAATGTAAAAAAAAAAATAAACCTAAAATTTGTCATGAGTATATTTTTAAAAGTTTGATCAATATTCAAGAAACAATTCGATTTTGTAAACTTAAGTTTGTTGACCCATTCATAATAAATACGTTACTAAATATTATTTACATTTTTATACTTGTTGTCGTATGTTATGTATATTGATATGGAAATTATTTTACCCTCAATAATTTCCATATTACCTACAAAAGAAACGTATTATGTAAGAATATAATGTAATAACTTTTTGTATTTTTTTATTAGTATTTATACGACAATGGTTGGTTATAAAGCATCATTAGACCCTCTAAAAAATGAACTGAAAGCCATTGGAGCATGCACAATTGCAGAAGCTGGTTTCTATCAAGGTCGGAATGCTCGTTGGGGGATTGCTTGGACGTTTCAGCCAGATATAAAATTGAAGGATTTTTTGCCTAATAAAGAATTTCAAAAAGAGAAGTTGAAGCTTAGACCACCAGTGTCTTTTAAAATTCCAGAATCGTACGACTCTACTACTGCGCTTACCAAATTATCAGAACTTTTAGATAGTCTTAAGGTAAATAACTATTAATAGTATTTATAATATTTATTTTTTAATACTTTTTATTATTTTTTTTAGTTGTCAATCTCAATATTAAAATCAAAAATTGATGAAAGTGTCTTATACCAAGCTGACATTCAAGCATATGAAAATACATGGACTCATCAAAGAAGAAAAAGGCGTATGGAAAAAAGATTAGCTGATTGCAAACGTCAAAAAACTAATGACTGCTGTTTACATGTTGAATCTGATGATGAAAGGGTTGATCATCATTTAGAGGCCTCACTGAAGGCCAAACCATTATTTGCAGCAACACTAGTATTAAGAAAAACAGACAATACTATTTCGATAGACATGTTGCACCTGGACGGCAATAGAGACAATTCACATCAAGTTTTTCAGTTCCTTAAGAATAGATTTATATAATGTAGGTTTGTTTATAATTTATTTAAAACACTTAATTACATAATACTTAAAATTAAATAGGTTTAATGTGAATAACAAAATAGTATAGTGTATAATATAGTAATTATGAGATAATATAATATAAAATTAATTTGGTATACCTAGTATTCTTTAAGGAAAAAAAATGAATAAATAAAATTAAAATGAAGTTTATCAATTGACTCAACCAGTATAAGAATTAACACAAACAAACAGTCACATTTTGTACATCTCCAATTGTTATAAAAAGACATTAAAAAAAAAAATTAAATATGAACACTTATTTTCATATACATTTTACGAGATCATACTAATATACATTATAAACTGAAAATATTTTTAAACTGCTACTATTTTGCTTGGATCTACTTTTATGCGTAGAAATATTGTATCATCTTTAATGAACTGTCTTTTTTTTAATAGGGTTTCGTGTGACACAAATTTAGGAAAACCAAATCCAAGACTATCCGGCTGCGTGCTTGGTCGTTGAAAATTCTCCCAAGATGGGTCAGGCACAAAACTCTCAACTATGTTGCATGGCTATAAAATGACAAAGGTAGTTAAAATATTAGTAATTTATAATGTATTTTACATTTGTACATAACCACTAGAATAATATATTTGCACATTACAATGCAAATTCAAATTGGCTTATTAATGTTTTTTTTTTTTTTAATTTATATATATATTTATAATGATATATAATATTGTAAAAGTTATTGTTATTTTTGACTGAAAATTATATTTATATAAATTATAAAAATGTTATCGAAATTTATATGGGGTATTTTGTAAATTACATTTGATGTCCTATTTTTAACTAAAACATATTTAAATCATATTATAGGTACATTTTGGTTATCACTATTATATTTATGCAATTTATACTTAGTACATTCAACCCTAATGTGCAAATATATATTTCATAATAGGTTAGATTCATAAATGTAAACACAATACTTTTCAATTACACACCTTTTCACTTTGGTCAAATAATGTGAATGCCACAGAATGTGAAAATGACCATTTCAGTAAAGCATCAAATTCACCTGGCAGTATTTTTATATAAACAGATACATGTGTGTTTTCACCAGATCCGTTGCCGTTCAAAAACACCGATGCTTGCAACTTGTACCCAAATTGGCTGGTGTAGAACGGCGAACTGATGAGTTCTAGACCATCACCACATACTTTGTGACGACCCTCTTCAAGTTTTTCCAGTACATCGCTGATTTTCCAAATCAGCGTACCTTTAAGTAATTAGATCTTTGTAAGCAATTGGTATTTAAATTTAATATACTGTTTAAAAAAAATGTTAAGTACCTGACTGATTAACAGCTAAGTTATTTATTACTTTTTTCATGGATACAATTTGTTGTTGTTGCTTAGTTACCATTGAACACATTAATGTTAAATGTTGTTGGCTTGCTTCGTCCATGTGTGTGTCCATTTGCTTTCCTCTTAAACTCTACAGTTGAAAATATGAAAGTTAGTTAAAAGGTACTTAGTTAATACCTACAACATATTACCTTGAATCGACAACCAACATCTTTGAAGCTACAAGATATTAACATTGAATGACATGCGTGCTTAATGTGATGTTCTAAATCTTCACGTGCCACAGTGACAATTTCACATCGATTTGGACAAGTTAGAGGGAAACGTGGGCATGATGTTGTGTGTGAGTTAATAGTATCAGCCACAAATTGTCGTCCGCAATGACGACATGGTACTAATCTTTTTGAACATTCTGTGACCTGATTAAAAATTGTATATTTATAGTTAACCATTCAAAATGTTATAATTTTAAAATTGTCTACCTTATGTTTGGCCAACATTCGTCTTGGAATTTTTACACCACATTTAGCTTCACAATGGATTGGCTCCACTGGACATGTTCTACTATGTTCTTCACCAGCTGCCTCTCCTTTCATTTCACCATTACAGTATTCACACTTGATGACACGTTCAATACATGTGTATCTCACATGATCATCCATTAAAATCCTGGCTATTTGAGCTCCACAGTGGTTTGTGCAAGGCAACGCATCATATTTACATGTTTGCAAATGTCCCTGTTGATATTATAATGTTAATATTTTGACTTGTTAAAATAAAATCTTTCCAAAGAAAAAGAAAATTCAATATCTTTTTATTTATTAACCTTTCCTAGTCATAATAGCTGAATAATAACATTATATTGAGTACTTACTTTTAGACGCCTCAATTGATCACTCCATTTACAACCTTCTTTGTGGTGAATGCAATAGACAACAGATCCCATTATATCCTTGTCTTTTTCACAATCAGAGACCTGAAACATAACATTTATTATTTTTAATTAAGCAAAATGACAAAAATAAATTCAATATGATGTTGAAGACATTCTATTACGATTAAATCTGAAAGTGTTGAAATATTGTGAATAAAGCTAATTCAACGGAACTAAAAAGTTTTTTAAAAGGTTAAATAATTTTTGTGTAAGACTCAAAAATATACAAAATAGAAAGCTAACATTGTAATAATTTAAGGATGACTTAATTTTTAAGAATGTAAAAGTAAAATACTAAAATTTTAAATTTTACAGTTGAGATCAACAATAGACAATTTATTTATTATTGTTCATCATAATAATATGCATATAAAACTTATAATTTAAGGTATTATACAATTTAAGATGCGATGATTGGTAAGTTGCTTCATCGTCAGTCTCTCTTGAATTAGTTCCAATAGCATAACAATTCGTAGAATATTGTTGTATTTAATGATTGAAACCATAAATAAACGGTGCTTATACACATTAAAAGGTTATGCTTCCCACACAAATCCAATGGGTTTATTAAATCATTGTAATATGTCCGCTCACTATCATTAAATTTGTGAGAAGTGAATATTTACAAAATAGGTTTAACTCGAAAACATCTGCCTAACCTCTGCATGTCTTATATAATGTATATCATATTTGATTATTAAACAACAAAAGAACAAAATACTGTACTCGTATTATATTATTTCAAATCTGCAATTAATTTAAATGTGTCGTTACATTATCTTTTGTAAAAATTAAAAATATATGCCGCAATGTGCAACCAAATACCTAATACGGGGCAATTCAACGTGTTTAAGGTCTTAAGAACAATTGTGTACACTTATATAGGTTTTACAATAGGTTGGAAATTATATCGTTCTCCATGTGTTCTGTAGTGTAGGTACCTATTGTGTGTAATATCTCAAATAATTGGGATCAGTCGACGTATTCTCTTTCACAGTCGGGTTTTAAAAAAGATACGTAAACTGAACATGTGTCTATCGCCCGTGCATTGTTGGTTCATACGACCGATAAAAATTAATTTTTTCGTATGAGAATTAAATAAGTACGGATCTAAAGAAGCAATCTATTTTCAAAAAAAAAAAATCTAGTGGAAAAACGTTTTACAATACGTACAACAATACTGTCGAGTGTAAGTAGGCAGGTATCTAATTATAAGACTTCGTTTATGGTCGAGTGACGACCATAGGGAAAGAAACCGCAGAAATCGATTAAACTGTTTAATACTGGATACGACGGGTACATCTCGAGTTAGTTCTAGTTCTCATGGTGTAGTGATTGAATTACTCTGAGCCTCCGACTGGTAAACATCGGGCAGCTTCTGGTATAATGTATTCCTCTACAATGTTATTCGTAAATGATTTTTTTCTACATTACACTTTCCACCACAGGCACCACTAAGGTGGGTGCCTACGCACATTGTACCTGGTTGTTAAACTCGTCGTGACTCTCAAATCCGTACGAAATTATGTGACAATATTACTGTTTTACTGGTTCAAGCGGGGTTTGACAACGATATTTGTCTACGAGGTTTTTTTCCTCCAGAATTTGTACCCATATTGTTAGGCACTTATCTACCTATTTCAAAATGCACAGCGAACATTGAAATATTAAAGACCGTATGGGGGTCAGCCGCCTAATATTCCACTCAATTAATGTAAAATTCGACCAGTCTATTATTAATACGCGCACGTTGTATAAAATCGATACCATACACAGTGCCCTGCGGTGCATAATGACTTAATGTTATTTTTTAACGTCCCGTCAAGGAACAGCGAGCACCAAGAAGATAAACTAAACCAGGTGTGATTCCTATTGCTCGCGTACACCTACTGCCACAAAAATAATATAATAATGAAAGGCGTTTCGAGCCAAAGGATATACGCTTGGTGAAGTTTAAGGGAGGCCCGTAGTTCTGGTCAAATCATCATTATATAGGTATTTTATACGAGAAGTTACGGTTGCTGAAACACGCACCTGCTCCTCCACGTGGACCTCCTGCGGGCTGGCGGGTTCAAAACTGTTCGGTAGACTAAGTGTGATTGTGTATGCATTTTATACAATATTATTCTTGGAGAACTGGCCGAGTCCGAGCAATAATTGTCAAGACTTCAAGACTGGTAATCGGTCGAAAAGTCCATTTCGAGAAAAGTTGAACAAAAAGTCCGAAAATATAAAATATTCTGTTCGATTTTTATCTATAATTACATGCAATTACTAATGAATGTAATTAATAGGAGCTGAATACCAACTTACCACCTAACTACCAATAGTACGAAACATTACTAAACGAAAAACACGAAACGCGAAACATGCATATAGTGTGGGGCGACCTTAGCAAAAATACAAGGAAAATCCACTATGGTTGAGTAAGTATGGGTACCTATGTAATATAGTAAATATATCTATCTGGTGATTATCATCGCATAGGCATAAAACCGTTTAAGAAAACGTATTTGATATTGAATGTATGTATTGACTATTTTTCAAAACGTGTTTGTATTGAATTATTTTTAATTATTATTATACTGTTGTAGTCATCGATATTTCTATTTTTATTTAAATTCGTGTATGGAACTACGATTTTAATAATAATTTTTAATATTTTCGGACTTATTGTCCAACAATAAAAAAATGAATCTGTTCTATTTGTCCAAATTTTTTCAAAATGGACTTTTCGACCTGGATTCATCAAAACTATACTTTTAAGTTTTAAGTCTAACCTCTACAAAAGTCGCTCTCCATAAACTCAGGGTGTCACAATCAAGGTATCTTCACTGAAAAACTCAATAGCTGGTACTCGATATATTTTAATTTCAGCGGCAGTTGTAATTTATAATGTACCTACCAAGTCTTGTTAATGTTGTTGTTGTTTTTTTTTTAAATCGATTTAAAACTATGGCAGTGTAGGTACTTGGGTTTAATGTTGAAGACATTTACACGATAGGAACATATTATTATAGCTGGGTATTTATTGTTCCCGATGTTGAGAGCGTTACTATTGTACGAATACGATTCAAGGAGATCATTAGTCACCCGGCAATAGAACAGAGGTATTTTGACAGCCCCAAAACATTCCTATGACAAACGTATCGAATTTTCCTTTTGAGAAATAAGAATATAGTTGCATAACTTATTTTTGAAAAATATGCTTAACAAACTATGTATCTGACCTCCCGATAACATTCGAGTCACACACTCACACAATATACACACAAATACAATTATATATTATGAATTATTTAGTTCAGAATAAATACATCCGAACAGATGTCCGTTTAGGAATGTCTGTGTGCCCGGCCGAATAGGGTCATATTATTTTTCCCCCCACACATATGCGTTGGGTCTGTGACAGATGATTTCGAATCGTGATTAAGTGAATCCTCCCTTAGTCGGGGTCACGTTCGGCTTGTTCCATTTTCCTGCCGGTTTCGGATTACGAGAAAAATAAAGGACTATACAAAATATTCTTCACGTGTAATGTATAACTCATTCATCAAATAATATTGTTAACGAATAACAATGACGCAATAGAAGTTTGACAAATATTTTCTTATTTTTATGAATACGTTTAAAAATATATCAAATGATCTAAGAACTTTGGTTGCATTTACATATATAATATTAGGTACCACTTACTATGAATATTATTTTAAATATCAATAGATCTTTATATCATCTGAATAATTAATTTTCCTCTACCGTTGAAAATATCAAAATATAATGGTCGTTCGATCTGCCTTAAGAATTCTGAAATTATTCTAATTTACATTTTTTTTCATCAATACACAAAATATTCATGTTTATTGTTGTCAGTTTTCTATACTTATTAGGTACAATAGTATATCAATACAATAACAGTATCGCTATAACTAAACTATCATATGTAGCCAGTGTAATTTGGCGTGTCAAGGACATAAAACATTATTATTTAATTAAAAATACCTATAAAAATAATGCACCAATTAATCTTTACAATTGCATAGGTTCGGCGTCTGTGCGTACGAGTTCCGATCGGACAATGGGTACCTAACCAAAATGATTGCCAAACATAAGCTGTTTAATTATTTTTTAATTCATCTCTGTTGGTAAACAATTCCCTTTCGGACCCCATCCGTTACAGTTAACGCAATAATTAAGTAAGGTGTATAACGTACATAATAATATTATATTAATACGATCGTTACAGTCGGCCACATGCTAGCGATGGTTTTATATTATTACTTAGGTACGTGCAAATTAACCTACATCGCAAACGATGCGTTGTTTTTGGATTTTCGTTATTGTTTCAATCAAAACCGCATAATACGGGTAGATACCCAACATCGGGTTCATAATTATAGGCAATATATATATATATATTATGGTACCCGCGGCGTGTGTTTTTGTGCGTTTAATTATTATATTTTTGTACCCTATATTATATTTATACACAGAATCGTCAGAATCGAATATAACGAATCACCCACACCGTCAGACGGACGGCGGCGGCGAGGCGATCACACCGCCGCAACACGTGTGTGTGTGTGTGTAATTACTTTCGAATTAATAGGTCGCCGTTAAAATTGCATAAGGATTATTATTTTTATTTTTTTTCCATTTGCGCAGGAGAAATGGAACACAATAAACGCGAAGACGAATATAATAATAATAATAACATAATATTATTGTGACGGGACAGCGGCAACCGGTTGGTTATGCGTGCAAGCGAGTCTGCGATAATACATAACAGCCGGTAACATAATAATATCGTATATTTATTTATAATTTATAATATTGTACTATCTCTTGTTTTCGACGAGGTACAGCAAATGCCAAAACACCCGTTGGCCGTATAGGACTATATAATTACACTCCGCGAGATTGTCGTACAATAATGCACTCTGCGAATGGCGCTTAATGAGTCGTCGTTATATTGTATAGGCATAAACTATATGAATCCATTTCTTCGCGGTGTCCGTCCTGTAATAATTGCAGCAATCGTTACGATATTACTGCGCGATACCTATTATAGCAACCGGTGGGGGCTTAGGGTGAAAATCATTACCGGACATCCGGTGAGTGGACGAAAAGAACGAGCGCTCGACCCCTTAATAGGGTTTTTTTTGTTTTAATACTAACCCGTACACACTCGACCTATTCGCCGGTATTTAATTTCGAAGCCGGCGATCCGATCCGATACAGGTATAATATGTTATATTTAAATTATATTCTTACAGCCGCGGGTACGAGCCAAAGCCATAGGAGTTGTAGGTCGGGACATCACTGCATTTGCGACGGTTCCTCTATTCGTGACTCTCCAGACGGAAACTAATAGTTTACACCACCTGTTGCGGCCGTGTGGTGACCGGCGCTGCGCGCGTGTCTCGCATAGGAAATCCATACGATTATTATTATTATGATTACAACGTGAGACGAGAATTTAATATGAATGTATAGTACGCGTGTATATAAAATATAATATGATAATAATGTACAACAGGCATCGCCAGCAGAGACAAGGACGACGACGGTGTACGAAATTCGGTCGGAAGTCACAATCAGATGGGTTGGTCTTTTTTGTCTCAACGCGTATATTATGATATTAAAATACACCTACTCATATAGAACGAATCGGGTAGGCATCATTGGATAGACAACGATCGACGTCTACGGGTTATACTTGTCCAGACAGGTCCAATACACTGAACTATAAATATACCTACCCGTGTAGAGGACGCATATCCCTCGTTTTTACCCCTATCTGTACATTGATGGGACCCGCGGATTAACAAAGATAAAATGTCAAAAAATGTTTATCAAGCATTAAAAATAAAATACTTGTGTTGAAGATTCCAAAAATTACCGAGAACTATCGAATTTTTTGTTTAATTCATAAAAATAAATAAGAGATTGGAATAAATACAGATTGGTGTTGGTTCAGTCTCATCATACTATAAGTGACGACACATCACGTGATTATTAAATGTTCAAACTAATAAACTATGTCAGGCAACAACAAAAAAGGTGACTTTTTATCATTTTTTTTCATACATCTAATGACATAATATTATGATATTTTGTATCTACCCACGTAATTAATCGATACGGTGACATAACTGATATTATAAAATTATTATTAACTGCTGTACACCAATGCGGCAAATATGAGAATGACGTTCAAGCAGGGATAATAACTACGCAGGAATGCAGTTTTTACATTTCCATTGATGGGGGGAGGGGGGAAAACCAAGTATCAGCCCCTGGGCACCCCCCGCAGATAGGTCTTGCGTTTAAAATGCAAATAAGACAACTTATGTAGTCGTGTAAAAACAGTGCAACGGGTTGTCGTTGTGGTCGTCGTTGCCTTATTGGGTGGGTGGGTCGTCGTCGTTCTTCGATCGAAATGTTTATAATGTGTGAGAAATTCGAATCGGGTGGGCGGCAGTGGGAAACTAACGCGTTTCGACGATCGAAAAAGTGTTTTCGAACAACTTCGCGTAACGCCCGAATGTAAACAATTATTATGCAACGGCGAACGGTCGAACTGGCGAAATGGTAGGTAAAGTCGTCCTGTAGCTATTATACAATATTATGATAATAATGTACCTATAGGCAGGTAATAGGTTACGGTAAGCGGGCCAACGGTTATTTATTTATTTTTTTAAAATCATTTCTTACATTACTGCGGACGATGATAGCTCGCTATCCATTTGCCACCAGAAATGCCTCTCCGCTGTTTATAAATCGTAATTTATTACTTACATAATATATATGTGTAGTTCCAAAACGACACGGTCGAGGGTCGACAATTGTATGGTAATGTTTCGACGGACAATAATATAATAATTATTATCGTCGTCTTGTAGGCTGTACAGCGTTTGGTATAATAATATATTACACACAATACACATGTTATATACCGGGTAACCGTTATTATTACGAAACTCGAACTTTTATTATGGTTGTTATTATTTACACTATTCGATACTTTTTTGGTACGTTTTCGTTGGCCCACAACGCCGTGTTTGTTCAAAACCGTATACGGAATAATATAACTTCTATTGTTGTGCTAATACGGTTTTACGCGAATATTACGATTAAATAAAATATAAAAATATGTACTAAGCAATTTACGATTGCATTACTACGCAATGGATTTTTCAAACCAGTCCCCCGAGAGACCTTTACGCCGGGTTATATAATATGCTTAAACAGCGATATGATATTGGGATTTGAGATTGTTTGTCTCTCCCAGACCTATTATATTGTTAATAAACATCTCGTCCGGATGACCGGATGTCCGTCCGGATGTTAGATTTTGTCTGCAACGGTCTGTTCAAAATATTACGCAATCATCGTTTAACACGAACGACGACGACGACAATATCCGTACAAGACTGATGACAAAACGTATTTCTATACTAAACTTATTCGGTTCATATTCTTCAAATTATTTATTTTACCAACTCCTACGCTTTTTATGCATATATTCACTATACACACATTTACTCTTTGACCGAATCTTGCACACGTACAATATACATGCACACAGACTACACAGAATTCACAACACACAGACCTTCGAAAACTTATCAAACCTCTGCACCTCTCACAGCATAACAAACACTTGAAAAAAAAAAAAAATTATCATATAATAGACTGTGCCTATCTGTTTTCATTGTATATAATATAATATTCTGGGTTAATTCATTTTAATAATAACAATTATTAGGTACACTATACCTACAAAGTAACGTCCACAAATCACGATAAAATATATTATTATGATTTACAAGACTATATTGTACCTATTTACCTTTAGGCTTCGATAGTCTTACCCCTCGAATACACGTGTGAATTTATATCAAACATTAGATTATTACGGTATTAGTGTATTACTAGAAAAAAAACGTCTTGTGATTTCCTAATTGCGCAAAAAAATCAAAAAATGTATTCTTATAATCACTTAAAAATTTTTTTTTCTCAGCGAATTACGGAATCACGTAATATTTTACAGTGGACAATATTGCCTGTATTAATGCAGATACGGAAACGATTACCACCCGGTAGCTATTATATAACGATAAAAATTAATATAAATGCGGACTGCGGTTTTGTCGTAAATTCCAATCGGCACGTATAAAGTTTAAAAAAACGACGAATGAATAATGAAAAAACGATTGGTAAGTACCTCCCGGTGCATTTTCCTATTAAATTTTTGAATAAATAATTAATCAGTAGTACCTTAATTACCTTAAGATTTAACGTCAGACGAATTTTTTAACGATATCGAGGAGATGGTCAGAATTTTTTTGGGGGTAGGTGGGAAGGGTTGAAAATTATTTTTTGAGAAATTCTACCGGAAAATAAATTTTTTAATGAAAACTGTGGACGACTTACGTCTGGCGTGGACGCGGGAGTGATGTTGTCTTTGGTGGGCGTCGTGGCCGGCGCGAAAATCGTGCACGACGACGTGTTGATGGACGTGGTGATGCTGTGCTTGGACGATTTGTTGGGCGAGTTCCGGGACGGAAAGCTCAACGTCTTCGTCCACAGTGCAAGGCTTCGGCCCATGTCGGAAAACTTGTGGATAATATCGGCGTGCGGTGTAATACGAGACGAACGGCGGCGACGGCGATCGATGTCGCGGGTCGACGGGCAGCGATACTCGGGAGTGTGACAGCGATACGCGGAGTGTAACGCAGCGACGATATGACGGCGAGCGGGAGAGCGGACGAACACGGTGCGTGTTGTGCGTGCGACTAACGTGACGCGACTGAATGGTAAAGACTGAACGGCGAACTGTAGCGATACTGTTGTGCTCTACGTGCTCGTCGTCGTCGCGGCGGCGGCGGTGGCGGTGCTTGTGCGCGGTACTCCCGCAGACAACAGCTGTGCACCGCTATGGCAGTGGTCCCCCGCCGAGGCCGCGGACGTGCACTGACTTGCAGGCACACGTCACTGCCGTGTTCCAGAATGTTTGTTATTGTTGTATTTAACTTGGCAGATCCGGTAGCGAACACTTACGCGGCGTCGGGGGATGGGTCAAACCCCCCCCTCCGAAATGTTTGAGTTTATTAAAAATAGGCATCATTTTTCTCGAAAACACCCCCCGAAACTTTCTTCTGCATACGTCCTACACTCTAGTCCGATAAAGATGGTTTTAAATTAAATTCAAAAAATAACAATTCAGCTCGTATGAGAATTTGTGCCATTCATTCAAGTTTCTTGTGAAACGTGACAGGCAATATTTTGGAGCAGAGGAAATGATTTTTTAGACTTTGCATTCTGAACGGGTTCAGACATCGATATTGTTTTTAATAATGCAAATCGTTTTTCCATTAAAAATCCATAAAAAATATAATTTTATTTAAATACAAAATAAAAGAATAAAAATAATGTGAAAAAGAAAAAAAGAATAAAGTGGGTGTGAGGAACCCAGTAGACTAATACCTAATACATGATGTAATATCATAATAACCCACCCGTGTCTCGATGACGATGTAGGGATCTTGAAACCTACTATACAGCAGAGCGACTTCCCCGTTTTTTCCCCTTGAGGTTTTCGTGCGAATAACATATAAAATCAAATTCGTTTGTCGATAAACGGTTTTTAAATGTTTTCTATAGGTCATGGAACTATATCTGTTAGCTCAAACCAATCGTTATAATTTATAAATTATAATTATATTATGTAGGTACACGATTAATTTGCATGGTCCGCTGGTCGCTAATAATAATCAATAGCAATATCATAATAATTTTTCATAATATACAATAGCTAATAAGTAATGGTGATTATTGAGTGCTTAAAACTTATGACGACATTTATCGGTTATTATAACATGTTTAGTCGATGCACGCAGCAGGTTCTGCTTATTCGCACAATTTGTTCAAGGGTGTTTTCATTATAGATATTAATTAATTAATTATTTTAAATATGTGTGGTTTCTAAAATTAAATTGATCAACAACTGTCGATTTTCTTAGGTTATAAAATATAATATAAAAATATAAGTATGTATATCAGTATCATAATCAAATATTATCTATAGGCGATTGAAAGGTCAATATAAAAACATTACAATAAACCGACAAAAATGTAAAATTAATAGTATTTTCTCTATTGGGAAAATTAAATTACGTTTAACATAATTATTATTTTTTATACTTAATTTTCCAACGGTACATAATACATATATATAAAAATGTATGATATCTCGAAAAAATTTAACTTTTATTAATAGGTTACAAAAATATATTAATATAAGAGTTAAATTTTTATTGTAATACCATATTTTTGTACCTATTATCTTATAATTATACATTTATTGTAAGAAATTATTTTTGTTTTTTGAAAGTATGTATAGAATATAGACATTAGTATGTTTAATTTTATTCATACATTCTTATTATTTATTTTTTTTTTGTTGAGTTGATAAGGCTTCGACAACTGAGGATATTAGCCTAAATTCTTATTATTATTTGGTTACAGGTGATGCTCAGTTGTAAAACGGTGTATTCGAAACAATCATGCTCTCGGAGACATCATCATCATTCCATAATATCATATTGTTATATTTAATTCAAGTATGTTTGTAGATTCAATTAAATCAATTTATTATTGTTACAAACATAACATTAGGTGGTCTACAAGCTACAACTTTATAGAATAGCGAATTATATCGAGACTTTCGGCTAGACTCCACCATAGTTTATGTGAGTATATTCTTTAATAATAATATTATTGTTGGGTTATTTGGACCCGACGGTATTCCATACTCCGATAAATAACATATTTATGTCAGGTTCCATGGACGCATAAAAATTAAAACGAATCGACGGAATCTGACGAGAGAGTGGAACACGTCCGTACTGTACGTACCTATAATAAACACGCTCGCGCGCGTTAAATTGCAACTTTTCGACGTACTTTCTCTGAACGAACACTTAGTCCGTTAACGCGACGCTACGCGTTTTGCCGCGTTTTAGGTGTATCGAATTCGATCGAATTACCAGTTTTTTAGAAACGTGCAGCGTCGGTGTGCGCGACAATCAAATAATTAGGTCGGTCATTTTCGCGAGCGACGTGTTTTTTTATTTTTATTCATACCAAAGAAATATTGGTAAAAACTAATGAATAAATTGTTTTCAAGTACACTGCACATGTATTCATGTTATATCGAAATATTGGAATTTGTTGTATTATACAGGGTGATTCACCAAGCATTCTCATCCCTGTTTTTTCGTTTGATAATTAAATTCTGAACATTCTGAAAACAGTGAAAACGTTGACATATCAGAATCAAAATTCAAAAAAGTAGTTTTTGACCAATCTAACTCTGTGTACAAAGGACGATATAGGCCCAATCATAATTATGTGTTTAGAATATAGTGGGGAAATTGTGATTTAAGTGATTAATATTGTTGTAAAAAGGGCGTTTCTATTTAATTGAAGTCTGTATTGCCACAGGACACTCCTTAATTAGTACAAATTTCTGTATAATTTGATATTTTTGGCTTTTTCCAATAATAATTGAAATAAACATAAATAGGTAAGTACCTACATTACATAACATAATTATTCTTATTTCTTTGAATTGTAAATTTAGACCATTCATGGTATTTATCATCGGAGTTTGAACAACAAAACTATTATAAAATATTTTTGTATTAGGTACATAGATTATATCTTATAATATTCTCATTTCTCATTTCATATCAAACGATTAAAATATAATTATACTTTTATCAAAACACAAATAGGTATGAGATAAAAGTTTAAAACGTTTCTAAGTATTATTTTATAGTTCCAATTGAATAGTATTTTTTACAGTTATTAGTGGTATTAACTATCGAGTAATTAAGTTATAATTAACAGATGTAAGGTATATTATTCATATGTTTAAACATTTAAAATGAACAGTTCTACGGGTTTTTATGTTGTTTCTAAAATTTAAATTATAAAAAAATATACACTCATCACTTCATTTAACAGATAAGAAGATTTTAAATTTTAGATTTTAGATTTTAAATGTTTAGTTATTGAAGCAATATATGTATTATCATTGATTGATTGTTTTTTTAATAATTATTTAGTGTATACTTAATTTTTAAATTCTTTCCTCTATATAATACAGAGACGTTAATATTCAAGAATCATATTACTTACACCCATTTTTGCTGTGAAAGTAGCTTGAATTATTATACAAATATTATAAATTATAACCGATTTGATATTTATAATAATTAATAAATTATGCTTAGGTACTATTTGTAATTAAAAAAAAAATTAATCTAATAACTTCAACCATAGTTAATTGACATAAATTATTTAATAAAAATATAACCATGGGAGGGAATTATCTAACATATTATTACATGTACCCCTGCATGTGTCATGTACTCATGTCCGTTTTTGAGTATAGAATGAGTACTATACCCTGATGGCCTGATGTTTAGGTACTTAGCCCGTATAAATTATTCAACTAAAATGAGTTTCAACATATTATTTTAATTTACATTTTTTTTTTTTAAATGAACTATTGACATTATTACCGGAAAACATAAAAAATTAAAACTCGAAAACAAATCATGTTTTTTTAGCAGTATTACTATATTTCGAGTACCTACGACGTACGAGGAGTCGAGGACGTCGTATATATATAAATTTATGTTTGAACGAAATTCAAAGGGCATTCAAGGTCAAAACCATTGCTGTTTTCCATATAGTATGTCATAATAGGAAGTAACGACTACCATAATTTTATATTAGTACCTATGGTACTGTTAAGGACTATAATAGAAGACAAGCGACATGAATTAATAATAAAATTTGCTACCGCAATTGCAGTAGGTCATAAATAATAGAAATTAAAAATTATAATGGTTTAAATATCTATTTTTTAGTATCAGCCTATATACATTTTGTTGAACCGAAAATCAATATATTATGTATGATATAGTCGAATTATTAATATCGTAAATAAGTTTAATTATAATTAACGGTACTTAACATATTTTAAATGTATTTTGTCGTGTAAATAATCGTTAAAATATAGCTCATAAAGTCATAAAGACCATTAGGCCACAATATATATAGGTATACAATATTTGCCCACTGAAATGATGTATATTCTCGTGCTGTAGTTGTGAATATCTACCTATACATTATAGGCTAAAATGTGTATAGTTATACACACTGCGAGAGAAAAACGTTCACGAAAAATGAGAAATTTCGATATCATCTTTTTATCTAAATCCACAACTGCAGTCGTAAGTCGTTAGACGATTAATGACCCCAACATTTTTCGAAACGTGCCTATACAATATAGAAACCGTAGAGGTTTTAAGATACGTCATGTATTTTTTTAATAACTGCGTGTTCTAATTAGCTTAAAAAAATAAATCATATCACGTGGTCAAATACGTATAATGTTGGGTTCGTTTATTAAGTTATATTTAAATAAACGAAATGAGGCGAACAATATTAAAATAAATGAATATAACTTTGACCGAATCTAAAATATTAATATAATCTATCATATTTTTTTGCATTGGACTAAAAAAAAAAACACGATATTCCATAATATATGTGATTGTTAATTTTTGATTTTCGCTATAACAATTGATTACATACCTAACAAAGTAAAGCGTTTCCTCAAAAATATTTTTTATTTTATCCACATAACTACACATCGTAACACAATAATACAAAATGTATTCTTATAATTTAGATAGACAAACCATGAAAATTGCTATTTACATTATTTTGTAAAATAATGAAATAACTTTATAGCGTTATGCATTTTTAGGAAATCTCAATTTTAATACTTAAAAAACATTGGTA